ATGTGTAAATGTTTAATATCATCATAGAAATATACATCTTCAAAGTTAACCCTCACAAGATAACACACACATGATAATTCTATGAACAACCACAACATTTAAGGCACTTTAATTGCAAGTAATTGTACACACTAAGATCTAACACTTTAATAAACATCAATAATGTCAACAATGAAATAAATAATATGTTGCACATGAAAATTAATATAAGAACTCAATGAAATATTATGGACATGCAAGTAAATCATTATATAAACTCTCTAATCCAACTCACACACACAATTGTATACATAGGTTATAAGCACAATACACCCTTACCTAGGGGTGGCAATTTTTACCGCCCCGCCGGGGCTCCGCCCCGTCCCGCCCTTTCAATAACGGGTATGAGAACAATTTTTATACCGTTGGGGCGGGTATGGATATATTTTTGTACCCGTCGAGGGTCATGGGGCGGGAACGGGTTCTGATTCATATCCGCCCCGCCCCGCCCCGCCCCGCTAAACATATAACTATATATATATATATATATTATATAATATTAATAACTTATAATCAATTTATATGATATAACAACTCTACAAGTTACACAACCCTAACTTTTTTGTTTCTCTTTATCAGGTATTCCATCATTCTCTCTCTCATGACTTTTTTTGTTTCTTCATGCTCTAATATTATTTCGTTGATATCATGTATGAATAGTATGATTATGTCTCTATGTTTGTGGTTCTGATATCGTACTTGGTCTTGATTTTTAAGGTTTTTGATTTCTGTAAATCTTTTTGTTTTTTTGATGTAGTCTATGATTTAAGTTATATATATATATATATTCTTTCAGTGGATATATATATTTATGTTTATTATATATATATATATTTTATCATACCCACTTGTGCATTGGAGTCTGATAACGTTCCTTTAGAACAGATAGCTTGAGTTCGAGGTAGAACAACGATGAAAGCTTGAACTCCTTAGACTGGACTATTACAAATTTGAATACTAGTTGAGAAGGTAATTTTTTTTTCTCTTTTTTCGTCTCTCCTATGCAATAATGTTTCAGCTGTTTTGGATTTTACATTTGTTGATTGATTAATCTATATAAAACTACTTTTTTTTCGTCTACGTGATAAAGGGTTGCGGGATGACCCACTTGGGAATTAAAATTTTTTTTTTTCATTTTTATATTTTAAAAAACCAAGCTTTTTTGTTTTATTCAATTATATTGGCACTTCTCATTCCCCTTTATCATGTTCATTTGTCAGTTTGATTATCCATTGAAAGTGAACCTTTGAATTAATTACTTCTATATTTTTTTTATCCAGCAAGTGGTTGATATAATGTCCCAGCCAACTCAAAATATGGAAAGTGTGCCATCTGCATCAGCTACACAACCTACAAGTTTTGATGCACCAATTGAAATCAATTCTGAATCAGCACCCACTCCAAGTTTAGGGGTCACAGGACTCGCAACATCACAGGCGAGGAAGAGAAAATTGACTTCAAAAGTTTGGAAGGATTTTGAAAATGTGATATTGGATGGGCCAAATGGGGGGTCTTTTGCTATTTGTCATCATTGTAAGAAGAAACTTGTTGCTGAACCTTCATCTGGTACTATTCATTTAAAACAACATTTAAAGAGGTGTGTGAAGCGAACTAATACTGATATACGTCAAAAAATGATTGCACGTTCTCCAAATGTTGATGGGTCAATGCAATTTGGCAATTTTACATTTACCCAAGAAGTTTCAAGGAATGAACTTGCTAATGCAATTGTTTTGCATGAGTATCCTCTTAGTATTGTTGAGCATATTGGATTTAAAAGGTTTGTTAGCAGCCTCCAGCCCGGCTTCACAATGATGACTCGGAATACAATCAGGAGTGATATTATGAAGCTTTATCAGTCGGAGAAAGTGAAAGCTTATAGGTTGTTTGACAAACTTGAGAGCCGAGTTGCTATCACGACTGATATATGGTCTTCTAGATAGAAAAAAGGTTACATGTGAATCACTGCTCACTATGTTGATGAATTTTGGTGCTTGCAAAATATGATTATTGGGTAAGTATTTAATCTTTATTTATTTATTTTGTTTCAATTACATGATATCTCAAAAGTTGGTTATCCATCAGTGACTAACTTTTATATTTAATTCATGAATACTTTCAGGTTTGTTTATATGTCTTCTCCACATACAAGTGAGATTCTCTGTGATGCACTTATGAATTGCTTCTTGGATTGGAACTTGGACAGAAAGATATCTACTATTACGGTAGATAATTGTACAACCAATGATGCATTGATTCAGGGTCTTTCGAACAAGTTGTCTATTCGTAGTAAGTCACTTCTCTTGGATGGTAAAATTTTTCATATGCGTTGTGCTGCACATATATTAAACTTGATTGTGAAGGATGGTCTAGATATAATTGGAGTCGCAATTGGGAAAATTCGTGATAGTGTTCACTTTTGGACGGCTAGCCAAGCTAGAGAAGAAAAATTTGTGGAGGCAGCCAGTCAATTAAAAAATCCATGCCATAAAAAACTGTCTCTTGATTGCAAAACTAGATGGAATTCTACATATTTGATACTTGAAACAGCTATATGTTATAAGGATGTGTTTCCACGATTGAAACAACGTGAGAGACTTTATACATCTTTGCCATCGGAGGAGGAATGGAGCTTAGCACAAGAAATTTGTCGGAGATTGGAACTATTTTATTCTATTACTGAAATTTTCTCTGGGACTCGATTTGTCACCACAAATTGTCTCTTTCCAAAAAATTTGTGAGGTAAAATTGGCATTGCGTAGTTGGTGCAATTGTGAGAACGAGGTGGTAAAAAAAATGGTAGCAAGTATGATGGAGAAATTTGATAAGTATTGGAGTGAGTGCCATCTTGTTGCAGGAATAGCAATAGTGTTAGACCCAAGGCATAAAATGACATTTTTGGAGCATGTTCTTCAGAGGATACACGGGGATAAATATTTCTCTCAAAAAGATCGTGTACGCCAAGCATGTTATGATTTACTTCAAGAGTATCAAGATAGAAGTAAGGAGGGAACTAGTCTAAGTGAAGATCTAAGTGGATTGGCTGCATCTTCAAGCTCTACAAGTTAAGAATGGGACATTTATGCCGAGTATGATATAATTGTTAGTGATTTGTCAAGGATTGGGAATGTGAAATCAGAGTTAGACCATTACTTAGATGAACCCGTCTTGCCATGCACCATGGATTTTAACATTTTAAATTGGTGGGATGCAAATAAGAGTAAGTATCCTACATTGCAGCTGATGTCTCGAGACATCTTGGCTATTCTAGTATCAACTGTCGCATCTGAATCAGCATTTAGTACAAGTGGTAGGTTGGTGAGTCCACATTGCAATCGACTTAGTCCTGGCCTTATAGAGGCTTTGATGTGTTCTCAATCTTGGTTGTGGAATGATCTAGAAGGTAATGAAATTTTAAATATGCTTTTATATTGAATGTCCCATTTAGTTTTTTTCTTTTTCATTTTTTTTTTAAAAATTTTACACTGTTTTGCAGCAAATGCATCGGCATCAACTCTTTTTGCTGGAATCTCTCGGTTAACAATCTGTGATGAAGAAAAAGATTAAAAGGCTTCAAGGTATAGTTTTTTTATTTTTATTTTATTTTTATTTTTTTTTTCCTTCCTCCTCCTTTTTGCAGTTTAGTAATATTAACTATTGTTAAATCAATGTATAGTTTTTTGTACAATTAGTCACCATCAATTACTAAAAGAAGATCTGTTTTGATCTCATCTGATATTGTTATAGTACATGAGTTATGCAAGTATTAAATTAAAATTTAGTGTGCTAATTAGTACTACTATACTTTGATTTATCTTGTATTATCCAGACTTAGGAGAGTGCAGTGTTATAGTTGATAGTTACAGAAGATATTGAGCATGAAAAAGATGCAGAAATTTGTGTGGAACACCAGACCTTATCAAGTAGTAGTAGACACCAATTTGTCTCTATAGGAGTAGCGATGAGTCTCTTTCATTGGCTTTCTTTTTCTCTCTCAACATCAGTAGCGGCTTTAATGAAGCATTTTAGTGAAGCTGTCTGTGCATATGTGTTAATTGATGAACAGAGAGGCAAGGGGTCACGAATTGTAACGAACATTTGTATTTTTTATTGAAAAGGTACAACTGGTACAAGCTAGCAATTTAGCACACCGGTGTTGAACATAAGATTGTTGTTTTTCAAGGCTGCTTGATGATCATTAGAATTATAGTTTTCATATAAATTTTATTTTCTTCAATTTGTTGATATTTTTTTATGTATTAAACGATTCATTTGTTCATAATTTTCAGGTTTTGATTAATTCATGAACACTGTGGAAGACATGGGAGATTGCAAATGCCAATAGATCATTTAAGGGATTTAAATCAGTTTTTGTGTTTTTGTTATCTTTTGTTAATTTCAGACTTCAATTTTGAATAATTTGGGATGTAAATTTGCTTTTGTTTTGGTTATGGTGGAAAGTTGGAGCTTAGAACTTGTTATGATTTGGTTGTATTAAACCCTTATTTTTGTTGATTATGTTCTTTGAATTATGCTACGAGCATGCTATTTATTTATTTATTTTTATTGGGATTCATATATGTTATGCCATTTCCAGGCTTTTTGTATTAAAACATAGTGGTGGCAATTTTTATCGCCCCGCCGGGGCTCCGCCCCGTCCCGCCCCTTCAACAATGGATATGAGAACAATTTGTATACCGTTGGGGCGGGGATGGATATAAAAATTTAACCCGTCGAGGGGCACGGGGCGGGTATGGAGTTGCCATTAATCAAACGGGGCGGGGATGGATTTAGGTAAACCCACTCCAAACCCGCCCCGTTGCCATCCCTACCCCTGCCTTAAGCTAGGAGCAAACCCTAGCTACTCCAAAGGAAGAATGTGCTCCAAATTCAAAATTTATTTAGGGGTTTTTAGCTACCGATGTCCCCGTCAACTATCCCTTCTATGGCAAGCTCAAAATATCAAAGGTTGGAGGTGAAATGGTGGAAAAATGGTTGAAGTAAAATGAAAAAGAAAATAAAGGGAAAGAGAAGAGAGAATAGTGATGGAGTGGAGAATGTGAGGATTTTGGCTTGTCATCCACTTTCTCTTTCTATACACACACATATATACATATCACACACATTCTTATCCACACATATCTCACCAACTAGTCAACCATAATCCCCATAACATAACAAAATGCAATAATGTCCCATAAATGAAAATAATTTCTTACAAACATAAAATAAACACCACAATTTCATGAATAATGGTAATGTAATTTAAAATAAATTAAAAAAAAAAAAAAACAAATACTCGGTCCTCACACGTCCACGTAGGTCACTACACAAACCAAGAGAGAATGAGAGAAGGGTGAAGCCGAGAGAAAGACAAGGAGGCTGAGCAGGGAAGAATGAAGGAAACTGGCAAGGAAGAAGGACAACGATAACCCACAGTTGCCGGAGTTAGAGAAGAAAACCAAAGAGCTTGCGATGTGATTTTGGATTCGAAAATCTAAGGTAAGTCTTACTTCTACTATTTCCCTTTGAATCTATAAACCCTACACCTCACATACTAAACTTTAGGAATTAAAAATAGAAGAATTAAACATGTTTGTCGTTATATGAACTAGACCTAAATTGTATATGCATTCTTATATATATATATATATATATATGAATGTGATTAATCCCCTGAATTAATGTGTTAAATCTCTATTTTTTATTGTTAAAGCATGTGTTATATGTTATATTAATTGTGGAGATCATATGGAACCTAAAATGCATGAAGGAGAATAGAACTGAAACTTAGGTCGCGATAAAGATGACACGCCCAAGTTTCGGTCGACCGGTTTGGGCAATTCGGTCGACTGAACTGGATTATCCGTCGACTGGTTCTCCTTGTTACAGAAGGGTTATGTTTAGCTATCTGGTTTTGTTTTAACTGTTCTAAGTGAGGTGTAAATGTATCAATGGACTTGTATAAATATTAGAATGCATAAAATATATTAGTATGTTTTGTAATTATTCCTTGTAGATGCTACAATTGTGTTAATAAATACAAAAAGATGTTTTATGATTATAATCATATGTATTGATGTATTTATGATTTATGATATGATCTATGACTATATGAATCCTGTGTCATTGTAAGGATATGGCTATAATGTTTGGGTGTGTGTAGGTGAGTTAGCTAATAAGTTTAGTCTTATTTATATTGTGTCATTATCAGGATATGGCTATGTTGTTGATATTATATTGTGCTAATGTAAGGATATGACTATATTGTTGATATCTATGTGACTTGATGTGAGTATTCATTGCCCCGTAATCAGTTTTTAGGATGGATGTGTATATTGCTGGGGATGTATTGCATGTATAAAAGATATATTTCCTGGGTAGGATTTTGGGACACTTGACCGTCTCGTGTGAGTTTTGAGTGGTCACTATCTATTTCAGTTGATTTCCTATACATAGTGATCGTCTATTAATGTGTATATGTATGTATAACTATATAGCTATTTGCATGAGTTTTAGTTAGAGGTGGATTGTTTATCGGTTTTCTGATTGTGTCGTAGTAAAGAGGACATGCTTGTGGGTTTAACCTGCTCTTTGTTGATATTTTCATTTCCTAGTCAATTCCAGTCTTAGAGTTGAGTTCACTATACTGCATGAAATTTTTAATAGAATTTCAGAACATGGCATAGTTAAAGCGACGAATTCAGTAATTTGATTCCAAACAACCACTAAATGCCTATCAAGGGGATTATAAACTCCAATAGATGATGTTTCTAGTACATAAACAATCTAATTTCCAAACATTTCGGGGAAAAAAAAAATTGAACCTTGTAAACACACTCGGTGAGCACCATGCAACAGAGAATGTCCTGTAAATCAGCAATCGACTTGGCCTTGATGGCACTAGAAAGCTCATGAAGCTGTCTCTTCCTTCGTTGGTACTCCTTCTGAATCCTCTTCCTCTGTTCTTTACCGTTGGTCCATGATTACTTTACGGGCGTCCGTCATTATTGAGGCCACAGGACCTTCAAGATCTTCATCCGTTGGTCTCTGATCCATGACTCTAGTCTCTGCTGCAGAGACTTCATCGTCCATTCATAAAACCCAAACCCAAATAAAAACCTTGTATAACCCCAATTCGATTTTAATCGATCGATAAATGAAAATGCCGAGTAGAGTACATATCTGATTGCGTGTTTGGGTTTGTGACACGATTATTATTTGAGTGTGATGAGTTGATATGTTTTCCTGGAAGCATATACTGGAGATTCGAAACACGGAAAGCGACTGTGATGAGTTTTGATGTAAAATAATACTCGTATATTTTTTAATTTTCGAAAAAAGTAATAGCTTTTTAATCTTTTCAGTTGAAAACAACAATCAAACTTATATGAAGATCTGACCTTTAAAAGAAAATTTGAAGCATCTCAAAATATGTAGAAATTATTATTTGATCTGGAGCATGATTTCGTTGATCACAATTTTAGCACCCAAATAATTGGGTTAGCCGGTCATGACTTAAAATTAAGTTTGAAATTAATTTTGATACAAGTATATATAATATTCTTAATTTACCTTTAATAAAATCAATTCAAGTTATGTGGACCGAGGATATATTTAAAATTGGGTTAAGTGCAAAAAAATCTTTCGTTATTAGGGCTACAACTCGGGCGGGTTTTTGATACCCCTCGATTCCAAAGTCACGGGAACTGAATAATAAATCCTTACTTAATAATCTTCAAATAAATAATAATTAAAAATCCCATAATAGAATCCTCTAATCCTCTGATACCAGTAATTATTTAGATTACAACTTGGGAATCCATACTATGGACCCCTAATAATATCCTAACTGAAATAACTGAATTGAAATAAATCCAATAACTAAAACATGAAGAAGAGTCCTACGTAGAGTCGGAAGAGTGAATAATTGTCTCTGTTCAGCACGAACAATCTCTAAGACTGGAACTGACGAACACCTGAAAAATAAAGGTGGGTCAGGTCCACAAACAAGTTCTAATCTACTACATCCTAAATAGAGACCCGATACACGTACACATCCTAATTAATTTAACAATAACTAAATAGTCCATATATAGATATATACACACTAAAGAAACATCACTAGACTTGTATCAACCTAAATAGTAGGCAACATGCAAAACGCACATATAGTGGACATAAGCATCAATCATTATATCAATCATTACTTACTTTAAAAAAAAAACCCAAATCATGATATCAATCTTATATCAATCATTACTTACTAAAAAAAAACCAAGTCATGATATCAATCATTGTATCAATCATTACTTTAGAAAACCAAATCATGATATCAATCATTATATCAATTATTGCTTTACTTTAGAAAACCCAAAATTTGAATTCACATTGCACTGATTCATGCCAAACTATAATTTGCCTCGTTCGGCATGCTTACACACACACACAATTCTGATTTCCCTCACAGCAATAAACTGATTCATATTTATAGTAATTCCTCGTTCGGCGTGCATCGAAGGAAACACACACCGATTTCATCTAATATATATATATATAAACTGTTTCATGCTAAAAATAATCCCCTCGTTCGGCGCACACACTATGAACCAAATTTAATTTCACCTAATTTATACAAACTACTTCATGCTAAACCCATAATATATTACAACACATAATATATTACAACACATGAAAATTTAATTTATCAAAACATGAAAATTATCACAAAATTAAAACCTATGAACTGAAATTTCCAAATAAATTCTTGTAATTAGATTCAATTAATTTATTTAAAGAATCTAGAATTAATCTAGCATGCATAGGGTATGAATCAAAGGAGAAAAGAAGAATTAAAACTTGCCTTTAAGGATTTAATAAAAACCCTAGCCTCATTCTTCCTCTTTCTCTTCCTTCTTTCTCTCTCTCTAAAATATACTACGTGATATATTTATAACCCCTTTTCCAACCCTATAATTATATATTTATAGGTTAAATAATAACCCTACTCATTTTCCCAATCCAAGTCAAACTAATAAAAAATAAAATAAAATTTAAATACTAAAAAGGTAACTAAAATATATGTTATGTATAATCTATGTATATTCCTTTTTATATATAATACATAAATATACATCAGATTATTACTAAATGACTTTCCTTTTATTTATATATATATATACACACACACATATATATACAACTATCCATGGGTAATTATTCGTACCCATTAAACCCCTTATCCAAATAGTCCATGGGATCCAATTGGTTGGTCCATTACTACTATCCATATCCAATACTTTAAAAAAATAAAAATATATAAAAATAAAATAAAATAAAATAATTAAATTCCTAAACAAATATAAACCATCACATACAATTTAATTTAAACAAAGAAATCGAATACACATAATTTTAGCACACAATTTAATTTAAACAAATAATTCAATTAACATATAACAAGTAAACAATTAGCAAAGAAATCAAATAAACAATTAAAAATGCAATTAAAAATAACTAAAATAATACCGAGATTATCTTTTTAAAATCAAGGGTATTATAGGATTGGGCGGGCTTGACACTCTTCTCGGGCTAAGCCCATATAGAAAATCTTCAGCCCAGCCCATACATAATTTTCCAGCCCGAACCCGCACTAAGCCCATCTCAGAAGAATTTGTGTGTAAAAAATAAATCAATTAATGCTACAACTATGACTTAAACCTAAAACCTTAAGTATAAATTTCAAGAATACTACCAACTTAGCTACTACACTCTTGTGACTTAAATATAATTGTAAAGACCCGAACCCGAGAGTCCAAATCGCTAACCGGGTCCTTACCCGAACTCGAGGTCGTCTAAAGGCACTATGGTCAATTCTAATGTCGATACACGATATATGTGCCATCCTAAGACTCATACAAAAAAAATAAAATCACATATATAAGATGTGTCGTAACAATCCACTAATCTGTCCAAACTTGTGGAGGAACGTCGTCCGCTACTTCTTTTCCGTGTCCTGAAAAATTGTTAAAATAAGGGGTGAGCACAAGGCTCAGTAGAACACGCCTAAGGTGTAATGACCTAAACCCGGAGGTCCGAACCGTTAATCGGGTCCTTACCCGAACCCGAGGTTACTTAAGTCATTCCCGTCATTTCTCATGTCAAAACATCATTCTAAGGTCAACACGTCATACTTGCGTCACAAATATATTTAAGAGGGGCGTTAAATAACATTCCAAGACTCAAAGAATGATCATGCAAGAGGGGAAACAAAACGCACATAACAACTTCATTTCGGTCAGCTGAAATGGAGCTTCAGCCGGCCGGAATGAAGTCTGTACCAGTCGACCGAAATGGCCATTTCGGTCAGCCGGTTGTGAACCAAATAGTAACTGAGGTCTTTGGATGGTTCGATCGGCCGAAATGAGAAGTTCGGCAAGCTGGCTTTATAAACTGAGAACTGCTACTGAAATGCAGTAATTTTTCAGAAGTGTGCAATTAGTTTATGTGAGAGCTTTTAAATAGATCAAAACCTGCTCGAACAAGCTGTAAATGTCTTTCTAATTTCTATTCAGTTGAATATTTTTTTTTTAATATACGATACATGATCCCAATATGATTCACAAGTGTTGTAATGACATTGCATCAAGTTTACAACATTAGCTATCATGAAATTATAAGTACAACCACAAGTTACAAAAATTATATATGTTATACGAGGCTTTACAAAATAGGATCTAATTACAAAAAAAGTAACCAAAAGTAGTCTTCTAGTCCAAGCTAAGGCTATGGTGGATTGTCGTCTGTCATTTCTTTTCCATAAATATAAGGGGTGAGCAAATTGCTCAGTAGATGGTGCCTAAGACACACCTCTTATGACTCCGTGAATCCAAACAATGAATAGAACAATAGGGAACGAGATCATGCTATACCAGGAGAAATACAAAATCAGTTTCAAGTCCTAATGAACAAGGTGGTGCTATGAAATTCAATGCCGTGCTATGTCACTCCCCATTTTCAAAACCATCCATCACTTTTCAAAACCGTTAATATAACCTGTCCTTTGGTGATTTCTCGGCGACACAAGAGAATGATTGGCTATTGTCCCTGACCCTTGGTACCTCCGCGGATTCATATGGGGCTCAAATAGCTCAACCACACTAGGGTGATTTCCTTAATTCCTTCTAGGTTACATTAACACCACGGACCCTTGGTACCTCCTCGGCATCCAGGTTTTCTCAAAACCACTTTGTCAAAACTTTTTCCCAAAGCCCCTTTTTCATTTTAAATCAAATTGCTTCCCCTTTTTATGCCTGTTGATATGCATGAATATCTAATGCCTTAAAATGCTATGACATAAGGAGCTTCATAAACTCATAAAATCAACATGTATCCACATAATGATTTCTAACAAGTTACTATGCATATAAACATATAAAATCAACAATTAAGCATGTTTTTCACACAAATCAACTTATACATATAATCATGAATTTCATACACAACAATTTAATCATTTTAGAGGCAATCAACTCAAATTAAGCATGCTTTGCAACAATTATTGTAGAAAAATTCACAAAGGTGCAAGAAATTGAGAATTAGAAACCCCTACCTCAATTTTGTAGAAAAATCCCCAAAATGGGTTCCAAATTCAAAATCCCTAGAGTGCACCAAATAAAGAATTGCTTACATCAATGTGTAGATCTTGCCGTGCTCTCCGTTTTGCCGCAAACGGCACCCAAAAATTCCAAGAGATGAAGAAGTAATTGTAGATTGAAGTTTTGATGAGAAAAGAAAAAGGAAACCAAGAAATGAGAGAGAGAAGGAAAACTTATGGGAAAGAGAAAATGAAATGAGGCCAAGGATGGCCTTTTGGCCACTAATTCTATTTAGTGGAAAATGAGGCCCACCTCCAAATTTTCATTTTGACTTTTCTTTTGCACCACAAATATATATGTACACAATTATATAAATACCACATAAAACATATAAAATGAAATATATGAGTTGCAAATGGACCCAACGAAAATCCCTGTACCTAACAATTCCAGTAACGGGTCCCACATGGGACCGTCCGACCAGAAAAATAGAAAAATGCTAAAATGACCACCATTACATTTCTAAGAGTCCTGAACTCACACTCCATGGTGACCGGTACACAAAATAAGAAAAGACAAAAATGCCCTTGCGAAAACAGAAAATTCTCGAAATTGAAAAATGGTAAAAAATGAAAACATTACATAAGGCGTCAGTTTTGGACTCCCTTGACCCACGTAACATATAAATGGATAGAACAGAAACCGAGGTCATACAATGAAAGTCCGTACAACATTTACAACTTAATAGGCAACAATCTCAACACATAATACAATTCTTTAAAATGATGTGCATGATATGAAATGTGATGCACCCATCCCAAAATCTGGTCCATACCGACCCAACATTCACTTTTCAAAAACCCGCTAACTGACTTTATCGAGGCGAGATTGATAGCTATCCCCGATTCCAATTCTGGCAAAGCCTGGCAACCGTTAAAGGGTCTAGTATCAACTTTTTCACGCCCTACACCGGGTCGCGGTCCCTCTAGGTCAAGCTAGCCTCGGACTCGCGAAATCCGACTCATTTTTTAAAAATATTTTCCCTCTTTAAAATAAGACTTTACTTTCTAAAAAAAAAAATTCCCTTTTAAATCATTTCCACATCCCCTTTCTTGCCATGTCATGCAATGCACCATATTATGTCCATTAAACATCAATCTTAACAATATAACATTAATACATGTACATGGTAGTCATAGTTCAAAGAACTTAATCAAGGCATTCTATAGCAATTAATCAAGATCGTAGCATGCTTTGAAAATTTAATACAACAAGTCACATCATTATTTCAAGAACGGCATTTACAAGAATTGTCTATGAGTATGCTCAACATAAAATTATATACACACCAATATTAAACTATCCCTTAGACATCAATACAAATTCCATATACCAAATCATGCAAGTCTTTGATACAAAATTTAAAACAAGTAATGCTTTAATACTTGAGCTTACACATAAAACAACAATTTCACATCAAAGTTTAAAACTCTAAAAATTTAATAAGTAGGGATGGAATTTGCTAAATCAAAAGACAAAACTTAAAGCATTAGAAGGACCCCTACCTCACAAGAAGTACAACCCAAGCAAAGCCTCAATGAAACCCCAAATTTGCCCCAAATCCGAATCCCAAGGATGCTTCAAACTGAAAATTGCTCCGATCAAAACGAAGGTCTCGACGCGCTCGTCAACTTTGCCTTGAGTGGCAAAATCAAATACCTAAGAGAATGGTAAGGATCAAGCTTTGAATGGTGAAAAGAAAGAAAAAAAAAAGAAATTATAAAGGGAGAGAAGAGTAACTCACAGGAGAGAGAGAGAAGGGAAATGGTCTGCAAAATGACCATTGGTCATTATAATGACTAAGTCAAAGTGGGGCCACCAGAAAAATAAAAATAAAAAGTATTACAATAATTATAAATATATATAATATTTTCGGGCTCGGGTTGGGCTTCGGGCTTTATCTATATCAACCCAAGCCCAGCCCGAATTGAATTCGGGCTCAAAATATATAGCCCGGGCTCGAACTGAAATTAAAAAAATATTGCCCAAGCCTACAAAATTTCGGGCTGGGCTCAAGTTATTTCAGGTTGGACCCGCCCGAGTTGCAGTCCTACTTGTTATATACAAAATGTGCAAGAAATACCCCTATTTAAATAATAAGTGCATATAAATTCTTTTATTCTCAAAGTTTGGTACAAATTGCCCTAATTTTCACTAATTTTTTTATAAAAATTCCAAAATACCCTTAAGATTAAACTTTCTTCCACACCCATTTAACTCTCACTATAAAAATACAAAATTGCCCTCACTCTTATATACTCCGCAATTATATGCTTACCTCACTACTGATCTTAGCAAGAAAAAATAAATAGAATTAAATATATCATATTATGTAAACAAATACACCATAAAGGATCATATATAAAAATATATGTATACATATAATATAGTATATATTCACCACCATTGCCATTACACAACCCCCTACCTAGCCACCTCCGCCAGCGCACAGTCACACCACCGCCACCAACCAGTCATACAAAAACATGATATTAGAATTGGTCCTCAAATACTTCATGCAGCTATACGTGTTATCATGGTATTGAGTTTCATCTTTTTAGTGAAAAGGAGTAAGCGACAGCGACGTGATCCAATGATCAGTGATGTAGTTTCATTTGAAGGCCCTCACCGATTGTATTCCTACGATGATCTGAAATCAGCAACAAATAATTTTAGTAATGAGAGTTTGATTGAAGAAGGGAGTTTTGGCTGTGTCTACAAGGGAGTTTTGAGAGATGGGACTTTGGCTGCTGTAAAAGTCTTTAACATGGATCAACGTGGAGCTACAAAGAGTTTTCTAGCTCAGTGTGAAGCCTTAAGAAACATCCACCTTCGAAATCTAGTCAAAATTCTGAATGCTTGTTCAAATTCAACATTCAAGGCACTGGTTCTACAGTTCATGCCAAATGGAAGATTGGAGAGATGGCTTTACCATAAGAATGGAGATCAAAAGCAGGGGCTTACTTTAAAACAGAGGTTGGAGATAGTCATAGATGTTGCATTGGCAATGGAGTATCTACATCATGACTGTGAAAATGCAGTGGTGCATTGTGATCTCAAACCTAGTAATGTTCTACTTGATCAAGACATGACTGCTCATGTTGGAGACTTTGGACTGGCAAGAATGCTTTATCTATCTTTCTCTAATACTCATATGAGTAGCACCATTGGCTTAGAGGGATCCATTGGTTACATTGCACCAGTTACTCTTGTTCCTATTGCATTTTATTTTTCCTAAAAGTTCAAACAAACGTACACACACTCACAATCTTGCCCCTAGCAGGGCTCGACGTTTCAACATCTCCTCTGTTTTAACAATATTATTTCTTACTTTTTGTGGTTACAGTTAAATGGATTTAAAATATAATTATTGTTTTTTTTAATGTAGAGTATGGTCTTGGTGGTGGAGTATCGACAAAAGGTGATGTGTACAGTTATGAAATACTCTTGCTCGAGATTGATATGAGGAAAGAGGCCAACTGAAGAGATGTTCATTGGGGAATTGAATCTTCAGAAGTGGGTAAGAGCAGCAGTTCCTGATCGAGTGGAGGAGATTCTGGATGAGCAATTGATGGAATATTGTAAGGTTTGGGGCACGAATCAATTGAAATGTGTCATACAAATTGGTTTATCATGTGCAAGTGAGGCACCAGAAGAGAGACCGGAAATGAAAAATGTCTCTGCAATGATGAAAAGGGTTAGGGGCACTCTCTTCACTGAAGCTGCTTAAATCTGCTATTTGCATCGATAGATATCCAAGGCCTTGAGCAAATCACTTTGTTAACAAATCTATAGCTACATATGGTAGTGAGCACTGTCGATTTAGACTGTCTTCTTGTTACTGAACATCTTTATGATTGATGTTTAGTTTCTCTCTCTTTTTCCTTTCCTTGTTTTTTTTTTTGGGCAAGCTTTACAAGTCGAGTAAGTTTGTGCCAACTATGTCAAAAGCAGCATAACCTGACTACTTGAATATCATTTTTCTTTATTTTAGATTAATCTTTACATATCTTCTTCGACATGGTAGATGACAATGATTAACATCATACCAAAAAAAAATAAAAAATGGAAGGACGGAAAAAGCATACATGGAGCTAGCTTATGAGAAAGGGACCTTATTAGGAAATTAACCAATGGCTGGAGCAACAAAGACGCGATTGAAACCATCAATGAGGATCCTAACTCGTTTCGGATTATAATCTTGAGTCAGACCATAGGGTGGTTGGATCACTTGGATGAGTTGGACATGAAGCATGGGCATCTCAGCCTTGATCACCTCAGCAGATACTTCTCCTGGCATTCCTACCAATTGAGGCCATGTCTTGGGATGATGGGGAGAGTAAGGCAAGTTCTGCTGACTTTACTAAGTAGCTGAAATATGACAGACAATAAAGCTGTGCCTCGAATCTTGATCACCCTGCAATTCTTGTAAATGAAAGTCTTGAGGGTGATTGTTAATTTTATACAATCAACTAGCACATACACATATTATTCCGTAGACAAGGAGTATTTAAACTTGTAGGCTTAGTTCATTCATTACCTGTCAATTATAAAAATACTACAGTAATAGAAAAATGGGTTGACATTAATTTTAAGAGTTGACTAACTGAGTTCTCATCCCCTAAAAGATGCTTGGGGAGATGGGTTGTGGACAGATCCAATAATGGTGTACCTACCATGGTTAAAATTAATTTTCAATCAAATGACATGAAGAATAAAACTGAATGAGAACATGTAGAAAATCTACAGCTCATATCTGTCCCAAAGAGTCCTTTAGGGTATATTTCAACTCATTCACTTTGTGGGTAGGGATGAAAATGTTTTAGCCCATCAAATTAACAGGCCTTGATCCACTTCTCTCGTGTGGGCTTTCATTACTGGCACGCTGGTGGGCTGGGTAGAGTATTGCCATTTCTTAAGATTAAAAATTACTCAAGATCAATGACCCGTGACAATATTTACTTGGAATCATATAGTCTGATTATGTAAAAATTTCTGAGTGTGAGTAAAGAGTAGAGGCTGCCCACTACAAAAAGCACCAGACGCAGCAATTAATATATGATATATCCTAAGGGTGGTAAACGGGCAGGTTGGGTCGGGTTTGAGTAAGGTCAAATATGAATGGATTAAATATGGGTTGTGATTCATATTTAATTCATTTGTAATGGATTAAATATGGGTTGAGTTAAAATAGGTCTGGTCAACTTGTCATAACCCACTAATCCGTTTTAGGAAAAATATATATTTTTATTTTGGATAATCTCATTATTGTAGTTTTTTTTTAAATGTATAAAAACTTGTAAAACTATGTATGGATAATTGTAAATCCTTTAATTTATTTTAATTTTTTTTTAAATTTATATTATTTTATTTTATTTATAATTGTAAATTCTCATTGTATATGTGTTGTGAATGTAATAGAACAAGATTATAGTACTACAAGAATTTTAGAGAGAGAAAAAGGATGATACAGAGAGAATTTTAAAGAAAGTGGGAGAGAGAGAATTTGGAATGGTGTTAGAGAATTTTAGAGAGGAAGAAAAGGTAAATTTGAGTCAAATAGAGAATATGAAACTGTCTCTCTTATATAATGGGTGAAATATGGGTCAAAATGGATGACCCATATTCAATCCATTAATCCTCTATAAAAATGAGTTGAATATGAATTATTTATTTTGATCCATATTTTAAAATGATTTATCCATATTTATTTTATGCGGACGAAATGATAAGTCATTACCCATTTTACCACCCCTGCCTCATATCCAAACATGATTTAAAAATAAAAAATAAATAAATAAATAAATTGGAATGAGATGCAACAAGTCGGTGACACGTTAACATCGCGAAACGGTTTTTAGAATATTTTCTCTGAGGTCACCACGTGAATTGTTATCTTCTGTCTTATCACTTAGCCAGAAAAAGGATGGATCCGAATTGCTATATCACATCATCACAAGAGAAGCTTCTCAAAGAAAACGCTGTTTCATACGTATCTATATATTTTCTATTGTAACCACCGCTTGCTTCCGTCAAAATTTCTGGTATTGTTCTCCATCCTTCAACACTGAACACCATTCCGTAATGGACCACTACTTAAATTTAGTACCTTTCAGTGATATTATTATGATATAAACATTTGGTACATCCATATTGTGACCGACATACAATTCCCTATTTGAACGAGTTTTTATTCATCATTTATAAAAAAAAATAATAGCTCAAAGCCAGTATACTCCCCCAAAACCTCCAATTTTGCTTTTATTTTATGCCAGCCTCCATTGTGTACTGATTTAAATGATGTCAAAACCAATGTCCACCTCATCTTGCCCACCTAATGCAGCCAATTCCCATTTGCATGGCCGTTGGAAATTCGTTAGCCAATCCCACAGCATTTGGATTTTCCATTTCACTTTCTCCACAATTTTCCCACCCGCAACTTTCCCATCACTAATGTGTTTATATGTATATATATATACACACATATAAACCCACTCTCATTCTCTTTTACGCAAAGACAAATATCGAACTCAGTTTTCAGTTTCACTTTGTCAGCTTCCTTATTACATCAATCTACGCGAAATGGCCACGCCCATCCTAACCGTTGGAGCTGTCAACATACCACCAGTACTCGAAATTCCCGCCCTTTCTCACCCTTTACGTGAATATGTGCGTTTTTTATTTTTATTTTTATTTTTATTTTTTAATTTTTTACATATTTTCTGATATCATCGAACAAACTTGTGTGTTTGCACCTATATGCCCATCATTCTTGTTGTTCTTGACGCCTCTGACTCTTCACTCTTTCTCCCCTAACTTAATCAAATTAATTAGCAGAAGAAACAATTCTATTTCCCATTGAAGTTTTTATATTAGCTTAGCATAGTTCAATTTCATTTGATTTTATTTACTATTTGTTGGACAAAATGTTAGAAGTATCAATTTGAGTTTTATTTGGATTTTTATTTTGTGGGTTTGTTAGAATTCAGCTGACTTGACATGGAATCTATGATTTCTTCAAAATCTTTTGGTTTGTTTTCTATAAAGAAAGGAACGTCTGTTTTGCAGCTGAACTTGAATGGCTCTGGTACTGGAACTTCAGTTCCGAACTCTGCCTTCTTCGGCAATAATTTAAAGAAAGTAAGCTCTAAGGCCAGCAGCCAGAGGATTTCATCCAGTAATTTCAAGGTTGTCGCGGAAGTGGATGAGCAGAAGCAGACCACCAATGACAGATGGAGAGGTCTTGCATTCGACGTGTCTGATGACCAACAGGACATCACCAGAGGGAAGGGAATGGTGGACACTCTCTTTCAAGCTCCTATGGACAGTGGTACTCATTATGCAGTCATGAGTTCCTATGAATACAACAGTGCTGGTCTTCGCCAGTAAGTTATTTTAATTTGGAATTTATTTAAGTTTGTAGTCTATTCTTGGCAGTTGTTTGCATATTTGTTTGTCTTATTAATCTTATGCAACTTATGTAAGACTTTGATTTTGATCATGTCATATTGTTTTAACTAATTTATGTAGATACAACATGGACAATAATATGGATGGATTCTATATTGCTCCGGCTTTTATGGACAAGCTTGTTGTTCACATCACCAAGAACTTCATGGATCTGCCAAATATCAAGGTATTTCACTAAATTTCTCAAACTTTCCAGAGTTCATTCTTGAAGTTGAATGTTTTATGGAAATTCGATACAGATACCTCTGATTTTGGGTATTTGGGGAGGCAAAGGTCAGGGGAAATCATTCCAGTGTGAGCTTGTCTTTGCCAAAATGGGAATCAAGTGAGTTTGGATCGAGTGTGAAGGCATATCATATGCATATTTTGAAGAAGAGTTGAAATTCCATACCTTTAGCATATGTACATGTTTAATCCTTATGATTTGGTGTTGTGATGACGAGATTTCAGCCCCATAATGTTGAGTGCCGGAGAATTGGAAAGCGGGAATGCAGGAGAGCCAGCGAAATTGATTAGGCAAAGGTACCGCGAGGCAGCAGACATCATCAGGAAAGGGAAAATGTGTGTCCTCTTCATCAATGATCTTGATGCAGGAGCGGGTAGGCTTGGTGGAACCACCCAATACACAGTCAACAATCAGATGGTGAATGCCACCCTTATGAACATTGCTGACAATCCAACCAATGTTCAGCTCCCTGGTATGTACAATAAGGGGGACAATCCCCGTGTTCCTGTCATAGTCACTGGTAATGATTTCTCCACATTATACGCTCCTCTCATCCGTGATGGTCGTATGGAGAAATTCTACTGGGCACCTACTAGGGAAGACCGGATTGGTGTCTGCACTGGTATTTTTCGGAGTGACAATGTTCCCATGGAGGGCATTGTCAATCTTGTTGACACCTTCCCCAGGCAATCTATTGGTAAGATTCAATAAATTACATCTTCCACAATAAATTATATCGCTAAATGTTGATATCAAGGTGAATAGTATTGGAAGTAGCGGCAGAAATAACTTAATTTTATTCCAGTATAATCAATATGAGATAACAAACTTGAGTGTAGAACAAACAGAATGAACTAAACTAAGCTTCAATGTTGGTGTTTGTATGCAGATTTCTTTGGTGCCCTCAGGGCAAGAGGGTATGATGATGAAGTGAGGAAGTGGATTGCAGGAATTGGGGTTGAAAATGTTGGGAAAAGGCTTGTGAACTCAAAGGAGGGACCCCCAACTTTCGATCAACCAAAGATGACTGTCGAGAAGCTGCTCGAGTACGGAAACATGCTTGTCCAAGAGCAGGAGAATGTGAAGAGAGTCCAATTGTCTGACAAGTACCTGAAAGAGGCTGCTCTCGGAGATGCAAACGAAGATGAGATAAAGAGAGGCACTTTCTATGGTTAGCACCCTTGGCTTCTGGATTAAGATGGAATAAATATTTGAGAAAAGTTTGTTTTTCAATGTTGTTTGGATGCAGGCAAAGCATCCCAACGAAGTTAACCTTCATGTCCCTGAAGGCGCGCTCCACAGATCCATCTGCAACAAACTTTGATCCTACTACCAGGAGTGATGATGATGAGAGCTGCCTGTGTCAGTTTTAGATTTGTCCTAGGCAATTCATTATGTCAAACAATATATTAGCCACTAAAAAAAAAAATGGAATCAATTATGTCAACTCTATTTAATTGTGTTATAGTGTATACTCTTTTTTCAATTTTATTTTTCAGTCAAAAATGATGCATCAATCAAAGAGTATGTGCAACTCAGCTATTGTATATAATAGTCCATTTTTTGCATTTTATGGTGTTTTAATTTCACCCTCTATAATTACAAGAGGTGTTGTGATTGATCGATGATGCCTAGAGTTCCAAAACACAGTAGTATCACATCAATAAGACATACCAAAATAGTTGCAATTGTGACGGGCTTCATTCAAACTTGGCGAATGCTGAACAGTAACTTTGATCGGGTATTATGCATGCAGCTTTGTTCATGAGGCAGGCCTAAAATAGTTAATCTACATATATGTCTAGTCCTAAGTAATGCAGCTTGACCATTTCCCTAGCAATGATGTTTAAGCCTAATAAAGGAATTGAGAGGGCAATAAGTAAAACATTATGACTGAACATGATTTATACAGTACCACCATGACCATCTTCTGGTTTTCCTAAAAATAAGTATAGAAAACAGGACAAGGCTTTGAACAACTCCAACACCAAAGTCCCTTGCTAGGTGGCGTGGCATGCTTGGCACTGGATAGTGTTTGATTAGGCTCAGCTTCTAAAGAGTGCAGTTACCACAACTCCGCAACTAAGTGATTGACCTGATAGGGAAATTCCTTAAGTTTCATTCAAAGGTGCATATCTATGCATATACCCTTATCAGCTATTCTTATAATGCAGAATAACATCACACACTGTATTTTCTGCACCTTTACTCTAAAATGAAGGTTATGAAACATCATGCAAATTTTAGTACAAAAAAAAAGAAGTAAAAATTAATTTAATAAAGTGTCAAGATCAACTGTTACGCCAATTAGGCCTTTAGAGGACAAATATCAATAATCATTTTTACAACTACAAATGTATCAAGTTCTGTCCACACACACACACACACACACACAAACTAAACTGGAATACCGCTAGAAACAACCCTAGTGCGCTCTGCACGCGCGGGTGTTGAAAGGAATGGGTTGAGCATTCTGTGTGTCTTTGTAACTGACTAATCGAGAATAAGAAATGGATAAGAAGGGCCTTATGATTGATCCACTAGAGCTAATAATTCATTGTAGTTTGTAGTAGTTATGAAACTAGAAAAGCAAGAGAAAGATAAAAGGCAAAAGAAAAAGAAAAAGTATATACAAAAGAGAGTCACTCATTTGAAATTTGAATCCCCAAATTAAAAATTACTAAGACAAGTTAATCATGCATGGCGTATGTATGACCACTAAAACATGAATCTGAATCATCTATAGTGGCATTCAAGATTTTTATTCCCTCAGCATTAGTTTAGCAAACATTAAACCAAAATCCTTAGAGTTGATGAAGTGATTATTTAATTATCACTGAGTGTCTAATATATATATATACGCCACTTTTGTCTTATAAGTCAAGTAAGTTGACTCTGGTCGCATTCTTAAAAACGCTTGCACTCCACTTGAAATTATGATTAGAGTAAGTGGGTTTGAAATTTAGCTCCCAATTTTCAATATTATGCTGAAGTCTAAGACCAAGAAAGGGTTAGACATATATACATTGTTTATAGTCTTCTTTAAAGAAGCCGAAAAAAACGATACGTGGTCCTCGTATGTGTAGGCCAGCTTGGTATTCAATTCACATCAATTTCCATCAATCTAGAAACAATTTGGATTTTTCAATCTCACAAAATTCATAAAGCATGCCACAAGTTGTAAGCGCCTACCATATCGTGTCTTGTGTCTGGTTGACCCACAATCACATGACATGATGGGTCTAAAGATGCTGTTTTTACTTTGTTTTTGCTTCTAGGAAAGGAATATGTATGATTGCTCATCGAAAAGACAGCCCCTAGTTCCATTAATAAAAGCTTTCATGAGCTACCCCAATGAGTTAATATCCCACCGAACACATTACACAAATTCAACTGTTTTACGTGATTAGAAATCTGGTAAGTCCCACTCATACGAAAACAGTGCGAGTTGTCTGTATTATGACTCATAGACTGAAGTTAGTATTAGAGTTTTATTCTCTCCCCTATGATATCAGCTATCCAAACACTTACTGTAGTATGTTCTATGATCTCGTTACAATGTATTTGGGCAACATGTCATACTACCGATTGGTTTGGAATTTGAAGCTTGAAATGTGATGATAAGGGATGTGCACTTATTTTTGTGTACAAAAATGACTAGTGCATATGATTCTGGGATATATGGAGTGATTTTTTTGAGGGACTTTGCTTTTCTTTTCATGTAATATAAGCTGTTCTAACCTTTAAAATTTATCTCAAAAGTTAAAAGAAAAAAAAAAAGAAAGAGGGAGATTAATGCTTCTCTTTGGTGGCATGAAATTGAAATTTTAAAATGAAAATCTACGAAATTGAAAAAAAATAACCCACGAAAGAATTCCAAAACTCCAATTCATGCATTCACGCGCAACCAAAATAAATTTTAAATCATGGACAAAAAAATCCATGCTGCTTTAATTAATTAATTTATTTAATTGCAACCACATGATTCTTTAATTTCTTTCATCTGACTTTAGTTTGTAGAACTACTCTAATCAATGCACTTTATCTTCAACAAATAAGTTAGCTACAAAATACTAAATATTGCTATTAATGAATTGATAAATTTAAGAAGGGTCTCTGCATTGGAATTACCTTCTCCTGTGTATTGATTGGTCCTATTCAGAGTAGTACTGATGTTGTATGTTACTGCGTGGCCCTCATCACTTAACAATACTGTGTGGCCCTCATCACTTCACAAGATTATGCAATTTTCTCTCTCTCTATTCCGCAACTATACGGTGTGGTCCACAAATCCCACTTTCATTCTCAAATCTTTTTTTTTTTACATTCCCAAATCTTTTGACTACTAATTAATGCCGTATAGGTTTGGTTAGTCCTCTTTAGCAGCAACACACCTTTCCCCATCAAAAATCTTCTTTCAACCGTGACATACTTAAATTTTCTTCATTGTTTCACTACCATGTCACCAAACCCAAAGCAGATCCTAAAACATTTTTTTGATTCAAGAAAGCTCTAACATCAATCAAAGCCATCTATCATGACTGGTTTTCTCAGAATCTTCTTTTCTTTCATTTGCCTCTCCATCCCAGCTTCATCCCAAGTAGAAGAACTCTTCTTTAGCGGATTCAATGAAGCAAGGGCCAACATGAGCTTGACTGGAATTGCAGAGATTGGCAAAAATGGCATACTGAAACTAACAAACGACACCAGTAGATTATTGGGTCACGGTTTCTATCTCTCACCACTTCAGTTCAAGAACTCCACCACTGGCTCTGCCTTCTCCTTCACAACCTCTTTCGCCTTCGCCATGGTCCCCGAGTACCCCAAACTCGGCGGCCACGGCCTTGCTTTTGCAATCTCGCCCTCCAAAGACCTCAAATCCGCTCTCCCGAGTCAGTACTTGGGACTTCTCAACTCCGCCACCGTCGGTAAATTCTCCAACCATCTCTTCGCCGTCGAATTCGACACCGTTCAAGACTTCCCGTTCAAAGACATCAACAGCAACCATGTTGGCATCGACATCAACGGCATGGAATCCAATCAGTCAGCTCCTGCAGCCTACTTTGCGGAAGATTCAAGCTTGCAAAATCTGAGTCTCAAGAGTGGAAAACCCATGATGGCATGGATCGAATACGATTCCATTACAAACCTTATCAATGTCACAATTTCTCCTTCTTCTTCCAAACCCAGAATACCAATCCTGTCCTTTCACTGTGATCTCTCTCCGATTCTCCAGCAAGAGATGTACGTTGGGTTCTCTGCTTCCACTGGTTTGCTTGCTAGCTCCCATTACATATTGGGTTGGAGCTTTAAAATGAATGGGCAAACAAAATCGCTCAACTTAGGTTCTCTCCCATCTGTGCCACTACCCAGTACCAAGAAGAAACACACCACTCTAATTTTAGTTGCTACCGTTTTGTCTTTTATTCTTGTAATTGGTGCAGCCTTCGTTGCTATTTATTTCTACAGGAAAATGAAAAACAGGGACATAATTGAAGCTTGGGAATTCGAAGTTGGTCCGCATAGATACTCATATCAAGAACTCAAGCAAGCCACTAGAGGCTTCAAGCACAGTGAGCTTCTTGGGCATGGTGGATTTGGACAAGTTTTCAGAGGGAGACTGCGAAAGTCGAAAACCCAAGTTGCTGTGAAGCGTATTTCTCATGAATCAAAGCAGGGTTTGCGTGAATTTGTGTCTGAGATAGCTACCATTGGCCGGCTTCGTCACCGGAACATAGTTCAGTTATTGGGCTGGTGTCGTCGTCGCGGTGACCTACTACTTGTTTATGATTTTATGCCTAATAAAAGCTTAGATCAACATTTGTTTGACAAACCCAAATCGATACTGAGTTGGGAACAGAGGTGCAAGATTATCAAAGGTGTTGCTTCGGGGCTATTGTACTTGCACGAAGGATATGAACAGATTATTATACACAGAGATGTTAAGGCTAGTAATGTGCTGCTAGATGGGGAATTAAATGGTCGACTTGGTGACTTTGGGCTTGCAAGATTGCACGAGCATGGATCGAACCCGGGCACGACTAGGGTGGTGGGCACGCTGGGCTACCTTGCGCCAGAGTTGTCACGGACAGGGAAGGCAACACCAGGGTCTGATGTGTTTGCTTTTGGTGCGTTGTTGCTTGAGGTTGTTTGTGGACGTAGGCCAATTGAATCCAAGGCATTGCCTGAACAGTTGGTTTTGGTGGACTGGGTATGGGACAAATGGACACATGGGAGGATCATTGATGTAGTAGACCCTAAATTGGAGGGTGTGTTTGATGAAAGTGAGGTTGTGATGGTGTTGAAGTTGGGGTTGATGTGTTCCAATAACGCGCCTGTGGCGCGCCCTAGCATGAGGCAAGTGGTTGGGTACTTGGAAGGGGAGGTTAGGGTTCCAGAGGACCTTAAACCGCCTTACACTGCACGCAGTGGAGGGAAGAGTGCACACAGTGGAGAGAAGGGTGGAGTGGAAGGGTTTGATTCTTATGCATCATCGTCATCATTTGACAAAGTGAGCTCGTCCTATTCATTCATGGCAAACCGTGATGTTTCTACTTCGCCTCTTTCACTTCTCCACAATTCAGGAACCCTAGATAGCAGTGAAGTGATGGCAGAGTTGATCAGATGATGTGAGAAATAAGGCAAAATGTGTTCAAAAAGTTTTAAAGCCTTGATAATTTCTTCCTTTATCTCTTCAATACAAAGTTCAAATTACTTGCCAAGTTGTAACATTTGTTTGTTCTCCTCCACGTTTCCCTGTAAATGATTTAAAGTGATGGTTGAACAGAGCATCTGCTACAATTTAGTGTCTTACAATGCAGCATCTGAAATGAAATGAATGTAGTCTCTTGTTCATATCATAGGAATGCTCAATATATTCAAGACTCATGATGTCACATTTTGAAAGTTGAAGACCATAATTGAACCAACAATTTAGACGGCTATTAACAATAGTACCGGACATCATTGAATGTAATTGTGCTTTCTGACATAGCAGATGCCTATCCTTGAAGCCTGATTTCCTCCAAAATCTTATCTACTGATTGCAGTCAATCATATCATAACCAATAATTCAAACAAATTTTTTTTTTTTTTTAGGTAAAGTGAAATGGGGGAAAAAGAAATACATCCATTTGGTACACAACCTATACCAATCCATGGGACAAACAGTTGCTTGTAGAAAATACAAATACCTTCACTTGATAGACTTGACTTGTATGCTATGTTCAAATGAATGTCAAAAAAAGCATGCTCAAACTTTTCTTATATGGTTGGCCACTTGGGGGAAGAATGAGGAGAGGAGAGTGGTTAAGTTGGGTGTGGAGACTGTGGACTCCAACGATGATAAACAAATAAATAATAATAAAACCTCTCTTTTCTGCAATATCAAACTAAAATATTGACCCAAACTATGCTAACACATAAAAACACGGTAACATAAAAAAAAGCAAAAGGAACCAAATGTGAGTTTTCTCTCGACATAGGTGTTTGTGTTTCCAAAGAAGAAAAGTATCATTTAAGAAACAGGCAACATTAACCTTTTCACATTTAGTTACAGGTTATACATTTGAGAGACTTGTTTCCATTTTTTAGTGCTTCAAATTAGTTCAGATCTTATTAGCGTTTTCTTTCCTTAAAGAATAGAAAAAGACGAACCAAAGAGTGAAAAATATCCCAAGAAATAGTGGCCATCAAGAATTATATTCAATCAAGACACATCTGATCATGGAATCACAACACCCACCAGGTGAGGAAAAACCAAAGAAAATCACAACACAAACGTACTTTCATTGGATTTAAAATGCACAACTTTTTGGATGGAGATGTTGGATGACAGATTGTAAACAAGACAAGCAATCATCACCATTTCCATATGATACATTATGAAGGTCTTTTAAGATTCATTATTGGAAGGACTGGAAATGAGATTATTTCAAAGAAAATGATAAAGTTTAACTACCCAATACGAGGTGGCTGGACAACTTTTCCTGAGGAATCGACGTATAGCCGGACTCGGTTTGTTCTGAAGTCCATAGTCACAAAATGATCCGGTGGAACCACCTGAATCTGAATCCTCGGCTTCTCTTTCTTTATCTTCATTTCTGCTTCATCTGCTGTCAGGCCCACCACCTCAGGCCATGTTGTTTTTGAAACTGTGTGACATCCTGAATCCACTCCATTAAACAAACAACTTATCAAATTATCACCACAAAAATAGCAATACTAGTACTATATGTCATGTTAGGATATTTAAATATTAAGTGACATTCTCTCTAAAAGTTTCAAAAAGGTCAATTAACAGAACCTCGTGTGGAAATGTTAAATTTTAGTTGCCCAAGCTACACCATAGTTACAGACTTACAGTTGACCCTCTTAACAATTAACATTTAGTAAATTCATGATAATAATAATTTATTGTCTTTTGAGAAAACAACTTGATTTCTAGGTGCATAATTAATAATTCTATTACTAAGTAAATAATTATTCTTTTAAGAAATCCCAATTTGAATTATTATATATTAGAGAAATATATGATTGACCCTCTTTATAATTAATATACCAAGTAAACTGTAATTCTTAAGTGATATTCTTTGACTAACAAGATTTGTTAAAAAATAAAAAATAACCCTACTAGCTAGGAGATAATAATCTTTTTAAGAACCAAGTACTAACATTTTAATTACGATTAGGTAAGAAATGCGTATGTGCGCGCATTTACACACATAAACCCAAACATATACAAGTTAAAAATTAATAATATTACCAATTTACCACATATATCTTGTCTAAGCATATGAATTCTGACACCTCAATTCATATAACATGTGTTTTGCTTTATATATCAACAACATTTACACTTGTAAGTAATAAAGCAAAAGGATTGTAGGACATTTTTATGCCTTGAATAGACATGTAAAAACTATTTTGAGTGAAGATTTGAAGTAAAAACAGGTCTTTCTTTCGTAGAATGTCGTGTATTTCGAGAAGAAATTATGATACAGTAAAAAGAAATCAAAGCACTATAGTTCTACTAATTAAAACATTTTTTGATTCCCAAATTTTATGAATTTAGGAAAATGATAATCATCAACAAAAAAATTCATGATGCATCTTATCACATGAATCAAATGGCTGTTGTGTTCATTTAATGTCACAGAAAAGAGCAAGAAATAAAGAACTACTTACTTAGTGTTGGGATTGTTTTTAATTCATCATCAGGTTGAGGCATATTGGTTTGCTGATTGTCCTCCTCGGCCATAATAAGGATCAAATATAACTAGTACTCGATTCTGCGTTTGTATGATCTACAATCTCTCTGTAGGTATATATACATATATATTTATTTATATAAAAACAAATCGATCTACAATCGACATATAGGTAAAGACAAAACTTGGGATCAGAAGATGTCTTTGATTTTACCAAGAAATGCCAATTGCCGTCCGACACGAAAACGTACCTCTGTAGGTCATGTCGTGACGGAGTCGTCGCGAAAGCGACAGAGAAGAGAGATTGATTGGTTCAGCCCACAAGTATTGGACAATGACTCCGATGCTATTATGTTTGTTAAGGGCCTTTCTAAAATATATAGCCCAAATAGTGTTCAATATCAACTTTTGAGGATATCAATGTAGGCCCACTTAAGCCTATGGGCCTACATTGCTTAAATTCTTTTGGGGCAGAACAACTCAACTTCTACTTTGATTGACCCACCAGCCCATCGTAGCTACACCGTAGGAACTTCTGGTGATATCACTTGATTTTTAAATTAGTGATAGAATCAACCGGAAGGAAATAGTAAATTTTATTATTATTATTATTATTTTTATTTATTTTTTTATAGTTTGGTTAAATAGAAAAGGAAAAGCTATAGAAAATTAGAATTCTTGTAACCTTTTATTTTCTCCAAAATGTCTCTTCCACAAAACACAAGAAAAATAAAATTGTCCTGTGAAAGCATAGTCTTTTTATTTAATATTCTTATTTTACCTAACAACTTCATCAATATTATTTTACCCAACAACACCATCCATATTTATTTGGAGACCAACAATTTTGGGAAGCGAACAAACTCTAGCCATGATTGTACTACAGCTCTACAGTTGCAGTACTCTTTTTGACTTAAGATAGTGTTCCAATAACAATTTACTTAATAAAAAAAATAACTCACGATTATTCAATGGTTAATCTAAGAAAATAATAATGTGGATTATTTTTTTATTAAAGTTGATGTGGTAAATTGTTATTGGAACATACAAAGGGTGAGTAGTTAAGCATTATCCTAAATTTTATATTTGCAGGAAACAAACATAACAATATGAAAAGTTTTAAAAAATGAATACCTAAGAATTCGTTAAAAAATAATAATATATTGTTATATATAAATAATACCTTTTACTCATTTTATCCACACAATTATAAATCAAGTAACTAATTGCGAAATGTTTGCTAATTTTATTTATCTTAAAATTTATATTATTTTTCTAATTAAACCATAATATATTTTAAATTCCATTAAATTCCATTCTTTTAATATAAAAAAATAATTATAAAATCAGCTGTGTATTAAAAGTATAAAAAATGTGTCATTGCCTTTGTCCAAGTTAAAAAAATAAAATATTTAAAAGTGGAGTCCCTTATGACAATGGTTTCATCTTTAATGAAAAATTCAGAATAGCTGGAGTGACAGAGATTGCAACACATGGTCTTCATAATATCATCAATGAAACCTCATCAGCCGGCTTAAATCTACTAGATTGCAATTAAACAAGAAAAGCACTCATCACCATTTCATATAAATACAATATGAACCTTCTTGGAAAGACTGGAAGTGAGATTATTTCAAAGAGAGAGTGATGGAAGTTAGCCAATCGTAGGTAGCCGGACAACCCTTCCTGAGGAATTGACCAATAGCCGGACTCGGATTGGAATGAACTCTAAAGTCACAGCTTCATTTGGTAGAACTACCTGAATCAGAGCGCTCGGCATCTCTTCCTTTATCTTCGTTTCTGCTTCATCTGCTGTCAGCCACAACACCTCAGGCCATGCTTTTTTTGAAGCTATGTAACTTTTTGAATCCACTTCATTTACCAAACAACTCATCAAAATTATCACCCACAATTTAGCATTACTAGTACTATATGTCACGTTGGAAAATATAAATAACACGCACACACACACACACACATATATGATAGTTCTAATTTTCTAACATGTCAGCAGTTTAACAATAACAAACAACATGGCCCAAACCCAGTAGGTAAATATCAATATTTTTTTAAAAAATGCATTTTAATTACTATCAGGTATGTGTATACACACACAAGCACACATCACATCCATAAACCCAAACATAAACATGTTGAAAATTATAATATGTTAAATATTGGTGATTGAAGATTTCCTTGGCGCTCTAGTAGTATCATTGCATTGAAAATTGTAGTAGTATTTGACAATCGGGATTACAAGTCAAACGGCTGTTGGGTTCATTGAAAATCTACAGTAAAAGTGAGACAAATAAAGAATTACTTACCCAGTAGGAAATTCATCGCAAGGTTGAGGCAGATTGGTTTGCTGGTTAATATAAACCCAGTACGTATACGTACTCAACAAGAATACACTATCGTCCCCAATGCGCTCTCTCTCTCTCTCTCTCCATGTATATAATAAAAATAAAAACAGAACTTTCGATGCAAATGATGCCTTTGATTTTTACCATTTCTATCTTCGGAGTGGTAGGCCATAGCCAGACCAGTCGATATTCACTCGGACGTTATCAATGCAAGTCTATAGTTTAAATGGGCATGTTTTGGTTCCTTTTATTGGAATAGTGAAGTTCCAAGTCAGCATTTGTTTAGGGCTTCAACCCAGCCCATCGTAGCTACACCGTGGACTGTGACTAGGGTTGCAACTTGGGCGGGGTAACCCAGCCCATCCCAACCCCAACCAAAAAATTTTAAAATTTGGACCCAAGTCACAAGATTCGCCAAGGAAGGTCGGCGATTTGCGTTCCGAGCGCGAATTTCTGAATTGAGAGCGGATTCGGCAGGAATTCACGAACTCGTTTTTGGGAATTCGCGAATTCATTTTGAGAATTCGCAAACTCATGTTTTGGAATGCTGATTCAAATCGTTCCCATTCAACATGTATTGTTCAAGCATCACCGATGCAAAAAATCACCGTCTCTTTCATGAAATCTGACCTAGCTTCTTCATCTTTGACAAGAAATAAGAAAGAAAAAATCAATTTTTCAAGAAGAAATCAAACCTTCCAATGCTTGACCTTAAGATTTAAGAGAGATACAAAGTGACCAGATCCATGAAAGAGATAAAAGTGAGTTGTGTGACTGGCATGAAGCGGGCTGGCGCTACCGACGGATTATGCGATGGTCACAGTGGGGCTGATTTGCAGAAGAGGACTTTGCTGCTGGTTTTAGTTTCAGGCTTTAGGGTAAGGAAACCAGTTATACTACTACATTGGATAAAGTTTTATTTAGATGATGGGTTGAGAAGAATTATACTACATTAGGCCTTATTAATTAAATAATGCTTATTGGCCGAACTAAGAATAATAAGGGTTAAACTCTTAGATGTAGAATAATACTCCCTATATGGGTTTTAAAATTAAAGAGCTTGAATATATATATATATAGACGCTCTCGAGACGTTCCCGCTCTCAAGTATTTTGGATATTGGCGCTCTCGCGCTCCCGTTTTCACTCTCGCTCCCGCTCCCGCATTATGTGACTTAGATTTGGACATACAATTCACAAATCAGACTCATATTCAGGTTAGGTTTTGTCAAAACCCAAACATATTCGGGTTGGGCTCAGGCTCAACCCGAACCCAACCCAAAATCCAAAATTAAAAAAAAAAAATGTATTTCTCCTCTCTCTCTCTCTTTCTTCTTTCTCGTTCTCTCTCAGCCGCCACTGCCGTCGTCCCTCGCCCTCAGCCGCCGCCACCGTTTCTCAGCAACTGATCCATCGCCGTCAAGAAAACTAAAAAGAGAGGGGGGCAAGCTTGAGAGTTGAGAGACAACGACGACGATGGTCAGTAAATTTATTGAATCACCACCATCAAAACATGGTCATCTCCCTAAAAAGACCAGATCCTCATGAATTTATTAACCATAAATTCAATAAATATGGAAATTTCTGACCATGTTTATTCAATAAATTAGGTTTTTGATAGGGTTTGATGACGATGGGTGATGATGGTCAGTAAATTTCCATACAAGTTAGCAGTTGCAGAGAAGGGGGCGGGGGGGAAGCTTGAGAGTTGAGAGACAGCGGCTGAAGCTTGCGAACGACGAACCCAAACTGGAACAGCGGGCGATGGAAACTGAAAGATATAGGTTTTGATTTTTTAAACAATCTGAAATGATCTGCCGATATGGGTTTGGAACTTTTGATTCTTGCAAACAGATCTGAAATATATGGATTTTGAACTACTGATTCTTGTAGATTTTGTAGTTTGCAGTTGCAGAGGAAGAGAGAGTTGAGAATGACTCGAGGCGACTGGGGAGGCTGAAATGATTTGCCCTAAAATTTTGTTGTTTTTTAATAATAATATAATCAAATATATATAATATATATAAATTTTCGAAACAAAAAGTTTATTTTAAAAAACTCAACCCGTCAACCCGACCAGACCAGCCCAAAAATATTCAGACTGGATTTTGACTATATATGTTTGGTACAATTCGGACTGGCCCAACCCAACCCGATTCAGGTTGAGATTGGGTTAGAATTAGGCTGGGTTGGGCCAGCCCAACTTGCAGCCTTAACCGTGGCAAGGAAAGGAAACTTCGCTGGAGGGAGAAGCGCGGTGTGGAATCAAGGGACTGACTTTTCAAATCCAACACTTGAATGCGCGAGAGCTACCAATGGTAGACTTAATTGGAATCTGTTGACATAGTCTCTCTACTCACAGACACATTCATTATAAAAGGAAACTTCGCTGCAGAGAGAAGAACGTTGCGTTGTGTTGTGGTGTAATTAAGCAGTATTTATACTGATCAACTCTTCTCCACGACATAATGGTTAATGTTGAAGAAAGTGATAGCTTCGGTTAAAATGAGGAAACTAGTGAACGAAATGCTGCCATGTTAACACTAAATTCTGCATCTTATAAAAATGTTGGGATATTTAATTGGTTTCTTAATTGATTTTTCTATAAAATGTTTTCCCAAACTGAATACTACAAATATTCAATGTATGTACCTCCGAATATATATAAGTATATATGAAATCTTTTCTATTTTTTCGAGGACATAGTTGATTTGGTCAAGGTAAATGATGAAATGTATATATATATAAATATATATTATATAGAGAGAGAGAGAAATGATATCTTTAAATGTGGGTATCTAATTCTGCCGACTGGATCCACTCCTATAATTAAGCAACACTTATACATTAGGTCAGATAGTTTTTATTTGAATTAATAATTATTAATATATATTCATACATATATGATAACATACATCACTTGTGAATATGAGCTAGCTGACACGTACATACATTTGAGCTTTTGGATATTTTAACTAACATTAGATTATTCTGTTTCACTTCTCCCAAGTCATAAATTTTAGAATGATCTATAATCACGACATGCTTTTGGTATACACTATACACTAATACACAGCACGAAATGAGTTAATATGAATGGAGTAATGATTTACTACTAAATGAAAAACAGATCATGGACTAGCTGTGCACTCACCAAGTCACACGGGGTTGACTCTGTGACAGTCTTAGTCCATTGTATCACCGTGCCAAAGTAGCTTGGTCCACTAACAGTGACCCACCAATGACTAACCGCTGCAAATAGTAGAATGACAGGTAGCTATATTAAAATCAAATTTATGTAATAGCAATAAACATGAAAATTGCTCACCACATGAAAATTGCTCCCATGTACCCTTTTCTGTAATACGGAGTAGTAATAATACCCATGGGTGAGCCTACATGTAATCTCATACAGCCGGCCAGATTATAGACATGTTCATGATGTTCTCCAAGCTTGTAATACTAATATTGTTGTCTAGTTCTCTCCTTCGCTTAGCAGCCACTCAAGATCTTGGTTTCACTTACAATGGGTTCCGATCACAGAATCTGAGCCTCGAAGGCATAGCTGAGTTTACGCCAAATGGTGTCCTGGTGCTCACCAACGGCACCACACAAAATATAGGTCATGCCTTCTATCCTTACCCAATTAACTTCAAGAATTCATCAAACACTTCTTTCTCCTTCTCCACCGCTTTCATCTTCGCCATCGTCACAGGGTCTCCAGACCTGAGTGGTCACGGAATTGCTTTCGTGATCGCACCAACAAAAGGCCTCCCTGGAGCTCTTCCAAGCCAATACATTGGTCTTTTCAATAAGACCAACGATGGCAACCCCACTAATCGTGTTGTCGCTGTAGAGCTCGATACAATTCAGAGTCTGGAGTTCAATGATATTGATCACAACCATGTTGGGATTGACATTAATGGGTTACATTCCAAAGTAGCCAAGCCAGCAGGCTATTATGCTAATAATAATGATCTGTTCCAGAACTTGTCCCTTGCTAGTGGCCATCCGATGCAAGTCTGGGTAGACTATGACGGTGTGGAGAGGTTGATAAATGTCACACTAGCTCCTGCTAAAGTCCAGAAACCAACTACTCCACTTTTGTCCTTCAACTATGATCTTTCGCCTGTTATCAATGAAACCATGTATGTTGGCTTCTCATCATCCACTGGCTCGGTGATAACGCGCCATTATTTATTAGGATGGAGCTTCAAGATGAATGGCCAGGCTCAAGGGCTCGACCTCTCTCAACTTCCTAAGCTTCCTCGAATTGGACCAAAGCAAACATCTCGAGTTTTGACAATTGGATTGCCTGTGATTTGTGTAGTTTTAGTGTTAGCAGTGGTCTCAGTCACAGTTTATTATGTTACAAGGAAGAGGAAGTTTGCAGAAGTACTAGAAGATTGGGAACTTGACTATGGGCCTCATAGATTCAAGTACAAAGATCTATATATTGCCACCAATGGGTTTAGAGACGGAGAACTGTTGGGAATTGGAGGATTTGGAAGGGTCTACAGAGGTGTATTACCTACCTCTAAAATTGAAATAGCAGTGAAGCGAGTATCTCATGAATCTAGACAGGGTCTGAAGGAATTTGTTGCGGAAATTGTTAGTATTGGCAGGCTACGCCACCGCAACTTAGTGCAACTCCTGGGCTACTGCAGGCGCAAAGGAGAGTTGCTTTTGGTCTATGATTACATGCCTAATGGAAGTTTAGACAAGTTCTTGTATGACCAACCAAGGTTCACCCTGAATTGGAGCCAGAGATTTCGAGTCATTAAAGGTGTGGCATCAGGACTTCTCTATCTACATGAAGAATGGGAACAAGTTGTGGTTCACAGAGATGTCAAGGCTAGCAATGTCCTGTTGGATGGAGAATTCAATGGGAGATTAGGAGATTTTGGCTTAGCCAGATTGTATCAACATGGAACTGTTCCTCAAACTACCCATGTGGTTGGAACTGTCGGGTACCTTGCCCCAGAGCACACTAGGACCGGCAAGGCCACAGCGAGCACTGATGTGTATGCTTTTGGGGCATTTTTGCTTGAGGTTGCTTGTGGAAGGCGGCCAATAGAGCCGCAAGCACCAGCTGAGTATCTAATTTTGGTTGATTGGGTGTTTGCTTGTTGGAGTGGAGGTGACATTCTTCAGGCAGTTGATCTGAACTTGGGTACCAACTATGTGCCAGAGGAAGTGGAGTTAGTATTGATGCTTGGCTTGCTGTGCTCTCATTCAGAGCCTGTGGCTAGGCCAACTATGCGGCAAGTTGTGCAATATTTGGAGGATGACATTCCTCTGCCAGAGTTTAAATCACTTGGTATAACTGCCACCGGACTAACTTTTGCACACTACGAAGGCTTTGATGATTTTGCAATCTCGTATACATCTTCTGTGGGGAAGGCATTTTCACAAACATCTTCTTCTGTTGCAGAATCACTTCTCTCTGGAGGCCGATAATACTAGACCATTTGTTTCAGTTATTCACCTTATGGACAATTGTGGTATTTGTGATCCATAAAGGGTGCTTTGTTTTTTCTTTCCTGCTTATGCATTAGTGTACCTGCCATATCAGTATTGGTGCGTTACGGAATAATGTACATCACAATTACACTCGTTTCAATTTTCAAGGGTCATGACATAGTTTTCAATCTAAATCTCGTATAACCAGGAAGACGTTCTTGCACACACAGATCCTTGATATTTCTCCCTCCCTCTCTCTTTAAAAAAATCCTCCATCTAAATTAAAACTGCTTTCAATTTATATGCTCTATTTTGAGTGGATCAAATATATCACATGCACTTGGAAATTGATCTACCATGATGCAGCAAAACTAATGTTAAAAGAGCACAGGAAGGAAGATCAATTATGATGATCTATGCTAATGACATTAAGAAGAATATTTCACTGATCTTGTTCTATAAAATATTTGTACAAAAAAACAGAAGAAGAAGAAAGATAATAAATAAAAGAAAGAGAGTAGGAAAGAAATCAAGTAATGGAAGACCAATATTTTCACAAAATTTGAACAATGTGCCTGGTAATTTGGCTGGGTAAATATGTCTTCTAACAATGGGAGTGAAGTGTGCTTTCCTTCTTGTTTCCAACCAATTGACACTAATATGCAGTAATCAAAGTGATCAATCACCCATTGACTAACAGAACATACAACATAAACATTTGTATTGGTCTAAAGAAAATTGTGCATCCTTGTGATTTAGTAATCTTTGAAACTTTGGCATCTTCGTTGTCATCTTTGACTCCATAGGAGGAACCTTATCGTCTTTAAGCACGTTCATCTATTAATCACCCAAGAATCCAAAAATCTAGATTTACTAATGGTTAAGCAGTTGGACTATTAATTTATTCCAACTTTACATGCATTTTTACTTCATAGTCCATCCAACACTTTGTCAAGCATGGCATAATGAAAAAGAAAGGGGGATCCACATTGGGCTCCATCCTGCATATATCTTCCACCACGCGACTTGACTTTTTATGCAGAATGAGTTCATTCACGCGAATGAACTTCCAATAGGTCACACATTAAAAGTCCAAATTGTGGACGAAGTTATTAGGGGTGTCCATTTGATCTGTGAATCCGTGAAAACCAATCCAATCCGATCCGTGCAGATTGGATTGGTTTCTTAGCCTCATGGTTCGGTTATGGATTGATAAATAATAAAATCCACAGATCAGTTAACGAATTAGGGTCTTAAAAAAAACGATCTGATCCGTTAAATGATCCAATCCAATCCATTCAAATATATATATATATATATATATATATATATATATATAAACTATTTCATTTTCCTTTAAAATATTTTATGTTTTACTAATTTTTAACTCTAGAGACCTAGTCATTTTTAAGTTTTACTAATGGTTGAAAATTCATCTATTGGGTCATGGTTAAAAATAATAATATTGGTCTATATGAAAAAGTCCAATCCGTAGAATCAATTCGATCCAAACCGTGAAAAGGCTTAATCTAATCTGATCTAATCCGTAAAGTAACAGATCGGATTAGATTCAATTTTCACCAATCTGTAGGGATCGGATTAAGACATTTTTATTAATTAGGAACAATCCCTCGATACTTCTCAATGCACGATATAGAAGTTCTTTTGCTCTTAGAAACAAATTTCCAATAATGTTTTCCAACATTTATTTATTGTTCTTTCCCCCTATCATCAATGTGGTGTTCTCTTATGACAATGGTTTAATCTTTTATGAAATAGTTGGAGTGGCAGAGATTGTGTTACGACCCGACAATTCTAATAAAATCCTCCATTTATTCAAATACAAATACATCAAAATACACCCAGGATCACAAAAATTGCCCTCTCTTTTACAAAAATTAATTCCCTCAAATATACAAAAATTCTCCAAATAAATAAAATAAATCCTGCCAACTCTTCATCCTAAGCCCGTCTCTACGATCCCCGTCCATCTTTGATACCTGAAATTGGAGGGTGGTGAGACAAAAGTCCCAGTAGGAAAAACCATAACAAGAATTTCATGGAGATTTAACAAAACAGCTTCACAAAATAAACATATACAGGTGAATATAAATAAAATAAATATATATTTAATCAAAACATTTCATAAAATATTTAATCAAAACCTCCCCACGCCATTCAAAATATAGAGAACCCTACACTAAAAATCATCAAGCCTCAAGCTCCGGCCTCCTTTGCAACTCTCGGCTCCTGTGTCTGCCGTCCATTCTCTCACTCTATTTCTCTCTCTCTCATTTTTAACTTTGCTCTCTTTCTTTATTTCTCTCATGTTCTTTGTTTGCAAATTCACAGACACACCCACGTGAACCCCCACTATTTTCCTTGTTCACACTGTCTACCACCCACGTGAACAAAACCAACGCCCAAGCAATTTTTGACCAAAAAATCAACCCGTGGGACCCACAATACATCATTACATTTTTTCTTCCTCTACACGTTTTGCCTTGCAGCCCACTTTCCTTCGTCAGATGTGATAAATATATACATATATAATATATATACACACACATGTGACAAAAATCAAAATCCATTAAATTTAATCCTGTGGGCCCGCAAAAGCCATCATCACCATCACATTTCCATTCTCATTTCTCTCTTCGGCCAACTGCGTCCCACCTTCATCATTAGATAAGATACTATATATATATATATATATATATATAAACTATAAAAAAAAATAACTATTACTACACTCCACTGAACTGAACTAAAAATATTAAAATTATAAATAATAATAAAATCATAAATTAAAAAAAATCAGAGTTATCACAGATTGCACCAGATGGTCTTCTCAAGGTTGATCAATGGAACTTCATGGGGCTTAGGACATACTTTCTACAATAAATCTTTTAGCTTCAAGAACTCATCATCAACTGGTAATGCTCTCTCTTTCTCCACTATGTTTGTATTTGATATTGTCCCTGACATTCAGAATCTCACAGGACTTGGAATGACTTTCACATTTGCACCCACGAGTAACATCCCTGGAATTATAGATTTCCAACATCTTGGTTTAGTTAATCTAACCAATGGAAGTGAAGTGTGTTTTCCTTCTTGTTTCCAACAAATTGACAGTAATATGCAATAATCAAAGTGATCAATCACCCACTGACTAATAGAACATATAACATAAACACAGTAAATTTTTGCGTTTTTTGGGGTTTAAACAGTTATACAACATAAGACACTAATATACATCCTTGTAATTTAGTAAATTTTTGCAATTTTGGCATCATCTGACTCCATAGGGGGAACCTTATTGTCACCACTGGGAGAGTAAGGCACCCCAATTTGGTAAGACTACTTGGTTATTGTTGACGAAAGGGTGAGCTCTATTTGATCTATGATTTCATGAACTAATGCTAGTCTTGACAAATTTATCTTTAATGAGTAAAATGCCATGCTTAAATGGAATCAAAGATTTAAAATCATCAAAGACGTAGCTTCAGGACTCGCTTACTTGCATGAAGAATGGTTGGAAGTTATTGTTCACAGAAATTTATCAAAAAAGGAAGTTATTGTTCAATGTCGTACTGGATGATGAACTAAATGGAAAATTGGACAATTTTGGACTGGCAAGGTGTAGCAATCATGGAAAGGATCGTCAAACAACTCACTTAGCTGGCACATTGGGCTACATTGCTCCTGAACTTGCAAGAAATGGCAAGGCGACAACCACCAACAATGTTTTTGCATTTGGCGCATTTTGCTTGGAGGTTGCTTGTGGTAGGTGGCCAGTGGAGCAATGTGCACCACATGAAGAGGTAATAATTCTGGTGGACTGGGTATTGAAATGTTGGAAAAATGGGGAAATCTTGAAAGTGGCAGATTCAAAACAGAAAAGTCATTTCAGGGTGGATGAGATAGAGTTAGTTCTGAAGCTTGGATTGATTTGTTCACACCCTGTGGCAGCAATTAGGCCAAGCATGTCTCAAGTTCTGCAGTACTTGAACGGGCATGCTTCGATCCCTCAAAAGTTGGATTTCTCATTGGACAGAGGAGCATTTTGGAGGTACTTCAGAGTCGAAGGACTCTAAACCTTCGCCAACAATCACTGAATTGTTCATTTTTACTGGCTGCTGATTGTATTAAGAAAAATTCATACAAGCTGTTCTTTCAGATTAATAGTTAATTCCTGTAATTATGATTGTCATGTACGTTTGAGTAGAAGTTATACATGAATTTAATCAGGTCAAAGGAAGCATGTAGTACCTTGTGTAAGCCCGAAGCTGGACAGATGGTGCTAAAACATTATCGTTGAAATTACTATCTACAAGTAGAAGTTTGGAACTCCTGTTACCATGTCGCTTGGTGAAGCTGAAGAAAGCTATAAGTTAAGGGGAATATCTTCGAATTGCCATCAAGAGTATTAGTTATGCCCAATCAACAAGTAGTAATGGATCCGCAAAAGTTACACCGGCCTTCCTTGAGATTCGTAAAAATTAGACCTTAACTAGATTTTAAAATTTACACTAAACTCACTTGTCAAAAATTCCATCACACTTTCACAGGGCCTTAATGGATCTTCTAATGTGATATTTTGCCCCTTAATACTAAATTTGTTTTTCAGTTGGAAACTCAAATTTTGTGAAAGAACAGAGTTATCTCTGTCCTCACCACTCTTGAGGATATCTCTATTTTGTCGAGGCCTTTCACCGGTTTCTTCAAAGATCACATAGCAAGGTAACCCAGAAAAAATCACGTATCCACCTAATTATCATTGCGTGTGATGAACAGTCACTCTGTGACAGGCGATGTTTACAATGGAGGGGTACTTATCAAAAAAAAAGTTTATAGTGGTGGGGTGGAACATGGGACTAATGGCAGATGGTGGGTAGCGAATAATATGATGTTTGAAGGAGATGGGGTTTACAATGGAGAGGTGCATACAGACAAGAAACACGAGTACAACACGACAAAAATGTATTATTATATCTAATTCTATTCTTTCCAGTCTCACCGCAAATTCATTTTAAAATTTGCATTTTTGCCACACTCAGTTTATGCATATGTTGTTTCTTAATTGCCCAACAATTTGTGCCATTACGTATGGCTGGTCTAATAACGGTTCGATATAACTTCCCTTTCAATCTTAAGGAGATATGCCTATCATACAATATACTAAATGCACCCTTCCATTTAACCCTGCCTTGATTTTATGATTAACGTCATCTTCAATTTCTCATTCATCATGAATAATAATTGAACGTAAATAACAAAAATGTTCACTTTTTTGACATAGTTCACATTGAGGGTAAAATTAGGGGCCAAAGTTAACGTGGATAGAATTAGTAAAAAAAGATATGATAGGATAGGATGTGACTTGAATGAGACTATGGCTTTAGATAGAGAAAAATGAAAACATAGAATTTATGTACCCGGACCTAATTAATTGGGAAAACAAATCTGGCTGTTGATGTATATATGAAAAATATTGATTTTTGCTCATTTTATCGACAAATCATGAATGTAATAAAAAATTTGTTCATAAATAAAAAAGGCAGTGACATGACACAAATAACTCATTTCAGCAATAGCAATATAGCATTTAGAATATTCTAATCGTTTTTGCTATATTTTGCAGGCCAAAGATGACGAATAAGAAAAACCACAAAGAAGCAAATTCCAAGCAAAAAAAAATTATAAAAAAACAACGCACTAACAGTCACCAACAGCAATCCATCAACAGTCGCCAAGAATAAATTTCAAGGGAATAGAAAGTGAGAGAGCGAAAAACCTGGAGGAGCTCGCGGTGGAGGAGAGATAAGGTGGTGAAGGAGCTTCTTTTCGCTGGTGAAGGAGCTTGCGGTTGGTGGTGGAGGAAATCGCGGTAGGCGGTGGAGGGCGGCTAGGTCGTCAATTAGGTTTTAAATTTTATGTTATTTTCGTATTGATCCATAATATCTTTTGAAATTATATTTTGAGCCACATATACTCTCCCAGAGTTCCCATCTCCTCGTGTAAAAATAATAATAAATTATAAAGAAGTAAATAAAATCACGACACTACAATACAAACAAAATAAGAATTCTTTATGAAAAAGGAGAGAACACCCGAAAAATATACATGCAACAACCACCAATTCGTGAGCTGGATCGGTCATATCAGACTTTTAAAAAAAAGAAAAATTCTCGTTTGAATACTTGGTCTTTTAGATATTTTGTAGGCTTGACCACAAAGATTATACAAAATATTATTAAAACTATATAATAAAATAGAATAAAAAATAAATAAAAAACCCAATTCATTCGATTCTACCATTCGATTCTACCATCACCATGTCGGTTTCATATTTTGCCCTAATCTTTGCTTTCAAAAATTGTGAAAGAGAGTATTGATTAAATAGCTATTAGAGAAAAAAACTCGTTACAAACCTTGGAAGAAGTGTAAATCCCGAATCGATATTATTGTAAGTGTGAATCCCGAATCGATATTGTTGTGAGAATATATTCTGTTATTTAACTTTTATAATTTGTGAGAACTCATATATATATGTGTGTGTGTGTGTGTGTGTGTGTGTGTGTGTGTGTGTGTGTGTCAAATTTGTGTATTTAACTACCATATCTTCACACCATTGTCTTTCTCTATCCACGATTATTGAGCAGGCTTTTATCTTTTATTTTTTCCTTCAGTTTGCACGAAAAATCATCGAGTAGATTTATTATCTAAGTTTTACCTTTTAAGGAGTCTGAGGTGGCCAATTCGGTGATTATTTTCGAGATAAGATCCCATTGCTCAATCACTACTCATTTTTTATTGAGTAGGAAGTATGAACTATATTTCACCTATGTGAGTTGTTGGCTTTTAAATTGTTTGTAATTTCTACAAATTTCATCCATGACTCTAATTAACTACATTTACATAAAATTAAAGATTCTAAATAGTAAATGAACTATTTTAAGATTTTATTTTTTACATTGATTAAATTAAACAAAATAATTATATATACATTGATTAAATTATGCATTGAGAATTATTTGTTCAGGTTTAAAATGTCCACTTCACAGTCTTTGTTCAAATTATCGAAGTGTTGCAACTAGACTCTACTAGCTACTTTTGTTCTGTATGTTTCTTTCCTTATTTTTTCTGGGTATTGCATATTACCATTTATTCTTTCGATCAAAACAAGTGCTATTGGTTATTGAATTATCGAAGTTTATGTCTCCAAAAAATGACTTTTTGAAAATGCAAGCACTGTAATTTCATAATTTTTTGAAATACAATGTTTCTCGCTGGGGTATTTAGTCTTTTGCTTTGCAGAGGTGAATGATGTAGTAGCACTCAAGTCAAAGCTTTGGTAATTGATGGTTTCAAATTTAGTTGTGTTTTATACCACAAATTCATAATACTAATTAAATGAATTTCCAAATTCTTTTGCTATTAGAAACAAAAATTCCAATCTTGTTGTCCCACGCTTATTTATTGCACCAGATGATCTTCTCATGGTCATCAATGAAAACATCGTGGGGCACACCAATTCCTAATTAGCTTCAAGAAACTCATCAACTGGTAATGCATACCCTGGAGAGTGGCATCCCTGAAGCTGTTAATTCCCAGCATCTTGATATAATGACATGCCGTCGTAATTGACTTTGACACTTTGATTTTGAATTTGAGCATATCAATGACAACCATGTCGGCATAAACATTAAAAAGCATAAATTCAGTCAAATCCAATCCCGAATACTATTTTGCAAATGAAAATGATCGATCGCCGACATTGAAATAACGACTGAAAATAGTGTGTGGGATCCACCACCTCCCACCCACTCTCTTTTGGTATCCCAATATCGTCAATTATAAACGGCGAACCAAAAACACCACTCTTATCCTTAAAGATTGATTTATCACCAATCATATTAGGAGGTGATCACTCCGGGAAAGAGTTGTTTCCAGACTCTAGCCATGTTCTCTGAGATTCTAATATTAATACTGGTCTACAGTAGTAGTAGTATTCTTGGCTTAGCAGCCACTGAAGATCTTGGTTTCACCTACAATGGGTTCCAACGATCGGAGAATCTGACCCTGGACGGCTTGGCCAAGTTCATGCCCAATGGCCTCTTGCAGCTCACCAATTACACCGACCAACAAACGGCTCACGTCTTCTACCCTTACCCAATTAACTTCAAGAATTCATCAAACACTACTTTCTCCTTCTCCACCACTTTCGTCTTTGCCATCATCCCCAAGCATCCACTCGGGGGTGGTCACGGAATTGCTTTCGTGATCGCACCAACAAGAGGCCTCCCCGGTGCTCTTCCAAGCCAGTACCTTGGTCTTTTCAATAAGACCAACAATGGTAACTTCACTAATCGCATTGTCGCTGTAGAGCTCGATGCAATTCAGAACCTGGAGTTCAATGATACTAAAGACAACCATGTTGGGATTGACATTAATGGGTTGCATTCCAAAGTAGCCAAACAAGCAGGCTATTATGCTCCTAATAATGGTCTGTTCCAGAACTTGTCCCTTGTTAGTGGCCATCCGATGCAAGTCTGGGTGGTCTACGATGGTGTGGAGAAGCTCATGAACGTCACACTAGCTCCTGTTGATGTCCAGAAACCAAATACTCCACTTATGTCCTTTCACTATGATCTTTCGCCTGTAATCAATAAAAACATGTATGTTGGCTTCTCATCGTCCACTACCGCGGTCCTAACCTCCCATTATATATTAGGATGGAGCTTCAAGATGAATGGCCAGGCTCAAGAGCTAGACCTCTCTCAACTTCCTAAGCTTCCTCGAATTGGACCAAAGCAAACATCTCGAGTTTTGACAATTGGGTTGCCTGTGATTTGTGTAGTTTTAGTGTTAGCAGTGGTCTCAGGCACAGTTTACTATGTTAGAAGGAAGAGGAAGTATGCAGAAGTACTAGAAGATTGGGAGCTTGCCTATGGACCTCATAGATTCAAGTACAAAGATCTATATATTGCAACCAATGGGTTCCGAGACAAAGATTTGTTGGGAAGTGGAGGATTTGGAAGGGTCTATAAAGGTGTATTACCTACTTCTAAAATTGAAATAGCAGTGAAGAGGGTCTCTCATGAATCTAGACAGGGTATGAAGGAATTTGTAGCAGAAATTGTTAGTATTGGGAGGCTACGCCACCGCAACATAGTTCAACTCCTGGGCTATTGCAGGCGCAAAGGAGAGTTACTTTTGGTGTATGATTACATGCCCAATGGAAGTTTAGACAAATGCTTGTATGACCAACCGGAGTTCACCTTGAATTGGAGCCAGAGATTTCGAGTCATCAAAGGTGTAGCATCAGGGCTTGTCTATCTGCACGAAGAATGGGAACAAGTTGTGGTACACAGAGATATCAAGGCTAGCAATGTCCTGTTGGATGGAGAATTTAATGGGAGATTGGGAGATTTTGGCCTAGCAAGATTGTATCGGCATGGAACCGTTCCTCAAACAACCCGTGTGGTTGGAACTTTTGGATACCTTGCCCCGGAGCACACTAGGACAGGCAAGGCCACAGCGAGCTCTGATGTGTATGCTTTTGGGGCATTTTTGCTTGAGGTTGCTTGTGGAAGACGGCCAATAGAGTCGCGAGCACCAGATGAGTACCTAATTTTGGTTGAATGGGTGTTTGCTTGTTGGAGTGGAGGTGATATTCTTCGGGCAGTTGATCTAAATTTGGGTACCAACTATGTGGCAGAGGAAGTGGAATTAGTATTGAAGCTTGGGTTGCTGTGCTCTCATTCAAAGGCTGTGGCTAGGCCAACTACGCGTCAAGTTGTCCAATATTTGGAGGGTGACATTCCTCTGCCAGAGTTGACATCGCTTACTATAACTGCCACCGGACTAACTTTTGGTGAAGGCTTTTCACAGCCAGGCTCTGTTGCAGAATCACTTCTTTCTGGAGGCCGATAATAATTCTAGACCATTTGTTTCAGTTATCAACCTTTTTGTCACGAAATGATTCCTAAGACGCTTGGAGGATGGAAGACACGCATGCTGGTTGGCAAAGAGCAGAGTTTGACTGGGAATGGTTTCAGGGAAGGGGCGTGCAGGAACACAGGATGGTACCTCTTCAGAGTTCAGACAGGTCGACTCGGTTCAATTCGAGGTGCTTGTCGCTAGTCGTGGACTTGACTATGAAGAAGGGAGTTGGCCATCCCTGCACAAACTGATCGGGAGCTGGAGCCGTTCCCCTGACGAGGCCATGGCAGGCCGAAACCAGTCAGCATGTATCCTTAGGAAGGCAGGTCGTGGTGGCTGACCAGGGCGCTTGCGCGAGCTGAAGCAATGCCTTGGTGCCGCACAGGCCGTGCCGCTGCGCCAAATCTCTAGACCCGTGACATTATGGACAATTGACGTATTTGAGGGGTGCCCCCTTTTTTATTATTATTTTATTTATTTACGTTGGTGTACCCTTTCATGTCAATATTGGTGCATAAATCCCCGTCTAAATTCAAACTGTTGCAATTTTCAAGGGTATTACATAGTATGATTACTATTTCTCCCTCCCACTCTCTCCAAGAACAACCCCCATCTAAATTCAAACTGTTTCCAATTTTTATGCTCTGCTTGGGGTGGATCCACATTTTATGCATCATATATAAATAAAAAATAAAAAATAAATAAAAAAAAACTAATGTTAAAAGAGCACAAGAAGGAAGATCAACTATGATTATCTACAGTAATAATTAGTGGATACTAGTATGCAGTAAACAAAGTGGAGCAACCACTATTGACTAACATAACATATAATAAAAACAGTAGTACTGGTAAAAAGAAAATTGTGCATCCTTGTGATTTATTCATTTTTGGCAACTTCTTTGTCGTCTTTGAGTCCTAGGGGGAATTTACCGTCTTTAAACCCTTTTAATCACCCAAAAATCTAGATTTTTCAAAGTCCATCCAACACCTTGTCAACCATGGCATCAAGAAAACGAAAGGGAGACCCACACTTTAAAAACGAAATTGATTTATCACCAATCATCTTATATAATTACAAGACTCTCTCTTGCGATTTCAGAAATTACAAGGACCCTCCCTAGACTAACTTACACATACCTTCATTCCGTAACCGTTAATGCGAGTCAATGACAGATTTTGTTGATATCATGTCATAAATAAATTAAAACTCTTATTGCAATGAAAGATATTTTAAATCTTACAAAAAAAAAAAAAAAAAAAATTGAATTACCAAAATACCATCATCTCTTCCAGAAGCAACATTTTGGGTTCAACATTCCAAAAGCAACCTAGTTTTGGGACAAACAACTAAAAAAAGAAAAAAAAAAAAAAACAAATGAATAAAGAATGTTGAATTATGTTATGTTATTATTTGAAGCTATATATATATATGTATGTGTGTGTGTGTGTGTATAAAACTAAAAGTTGCTGTTCACAGGGTTTTCAATTGATGGGTATATATGTGTGTGTGTATCTGTGGCGTGTGGGGGGGGGGGGGGGGGGAATTAGTTATGTATGATAATTTATGGGAACTATTTTTATACATTTAATAGAATAGATACCAACTCTTCTATCTCTCTTCTATACATATATGTACAAAAACTTTAGGAGAATTTTCACAATGGCAATTACAGGCAAATGATGACCCCTGCGACAACCACACATAAACATCCAGGATCAACAAGACCCCGATGACCTTCGCTGCAAACCACACAATGAAGACCAATTTCAAGTCAAAATTATTAATTTTAAAAAATTTGGGTTTACAGAGACAATGGTACATTCCCATATATATATATATATATATATATATATATATATTGTAATTGCAGACTGAAAGAAGAAGATGCACTATGCAGATCAACCAAACTAAACGGATCAAAAATAAAATTCAAAGCTCACCGGACTGAACCGAACTTTGCCAGAATTCATGGTTATTAAAGCATTGTACCTTCGTACTTTACCTTCACCGGTGAATCCATTCACTGTTCACACACACACACACACAAAGATGGAGAAAAATATTCCATTGATAAAGATGGTTGTGGTGGCGGCGGTGGCGGAGCCCATGGTGGTTGGATGTACATTGCCATATATATCTATACACATACACACATATAATTGGGTAATTCAGTCATTTATCATAGAAATTTAAGGGCATTTAAGTAAATTAAATAGATTCGTTAGTGCATTTGACGGTGCGTAAGAGGTAAGAGGTCTGTGTAGGTTAATTTTATTTTCAGAGAATTTTTGTGTAATTTCTGAAACCATGGGGGTAGTCTCTGAAATTATGACAAACCAAGTCAGTGTAATTTACCCTATATTTATTGTGGTGACTTTGTAGACAGGTGTCCGGTCCGGTGGGCGGATGCAAGAGAAACTGACAGGCTACCACACTGAGCGAGCTACACGTATACAATCTCACATCGCCTGGGTGTATGTAGAAAGGGGAAGTGCTATATTTGTAGATTTTGTAAACTCTAATTGGTATGAGTCATTTTAGGGTAAACCTAAGAGCAAAACCATGCTAACTCGGGCCTAAAACAAACAATATCATCATACCATATGATGAAATGGGTTATTACAAATGATATCATAGCCTAACCCAGCTGAAAGTGTAGTCAACAAGGACGTTGGACCCCTAAGGGGGTATTGTGGCGACCTTGTGAACAGGTATGCCGTAAGCGGGTGCAAGAAGTACTGACAAGTTACCACACTAGATGAGTTACAGGTGTACAACTCACATTAAAATCGTGCGAGTTCGAACCCAAAATAGACAATATCATATCATATGGTGCACTGACAGACTACCACACTAGATGAATTATAGATGCACAATTCACATAAAAATCATGCAAGTTCAGGCTCAAAACGAATAATATCATATCATGTGATGGAGTGAGTCGTTATGATGATAATGATGATTAACGATCGGGATTTTAAGCCAAACAGTTGTTTCATTAACTTTTTCCGATAACAAGTCTTTAACAGTTTTTGGGTTCATTAACTTTTTTGGGGGCTGTGAACCAAGTGATAATTCCTAGTCAACATTTGTTTAAGGCTTCAACCCAGCCCATAGTAGCTACAACGTATCTCAGGTGACCATGTCAAGCAAGGACCTTTGGTTGGCTTAAAGGGGGACACAAACCGGAATTGTTAATATGTGTGTGGAGCCAATTTTATTGTATGGTGGACGCGGTGGGCCTAGCTCACCAAATATCTTATTTCCTTCTAGACTGGTCCACTCCCAGTGGCCAATAGGCAATATCTAACCACTGAAACCGTGAATCAAATATTTGAGATGATCAATCCTGGACCAGACTCTAGCCATGTGGTCCAAACTTGTAACAGTACTACTGTTGTGTCTTGGCTTAGCAGCCACTGAAGATCTTGGTTTCACCTACAATGATTTCCGATCGGACAATCTGAACCTCGACGGCGTAGCCAAGTTCACGCCCAATGGCCTCTTGGAGCTCACCAATAACACCGTACAACAAATGGGTCATGCCTTCTACCCTTACCCAATTAACTTCAAGAATTCATCAAACACTACTTTCTCCTTCTCCACCACTTTCGTCTTTGCCATCATCCCCAAATATCCAGACGTGAGTGGTCACGGTATTGCTTTCGTGATCGCACCAACAAGAGGCCTCCCCGGTGCTCTTCCAAGCACATACCTTGGCCTTTTCAACATGACCAACGAAGGCAACTCCACTAATCGTGTTGTTGCTGTAGAGCTCGATACAATTCAGAGCCCGGAGTTCAATGATATTGATAACAACCATGTTGGGATTGACATTTATGGGTTGAAATCCAAAGTAGCCAAGACAGCAGGCTATTATGCTCCTAATAATGGTCTTTTCCAGAACTTGTCCCTTATTAGTGGCCATCCGATGCAAGTCTGGGTGGTCTATGATGGTGTGGAGAAGCTCATGAATGTCACACTAGCTCCTGTTGATGTCCAGAAACCAAATATTTCACTTTTGTCCTTCTACTTCGATCTTTCGCCTGTAATCAGTGAAACCATGTACGTTGGCTTCTCTTCGTCCACTGGCTCGGTTCTAGCAACCCATTATATATTAGGATGGAGCTTCAAGATGAATGGCAAGGCTCAAGAGCTCAACCTCTCTCAACTTCCTAAGCTTCCTCGAATTGGACCAAAGCAAACATCTCGAGTTTTGACAATTGGGTTGCCTGTGATTTGTGTAGTTTTAGTGTTAGCAGTGGTCTGGGGCACAGTTTATTATGTTAGAAGGAAGATGAAGTATGCAGAAGTAGTAGAAGATTGGGAGCTTGACTATGGACCTCATAGATTCAAGTACAAAGATCTATATATTGCCACCAAAGGGTTTCGAGAGACAGAATTGTTGGGAACTGGAGGATTTGGAAGGGTCTACAGAGGTGTATTACCTACCTCTAAAATTGAAATAGCAGTGAAGGTGGTCTCTCATGAATCTAGACAAGGTATGAAGGAATTTGTTGCAGAAATTGTTAGTATTGGCAGGCTCCGCCATCGCAACGTAGTACAATTCTTGGGCTATTGCAGGCGCAAAGGAGAGTTGCTTTTGGTCTATGATTACATGCCCAATGGAAGTTTAGAGAAGTTCTTGTATGACCAACCAGAGTTCACCCTCAACTGGAGCCGGAGATTTCAAGTCATCAAAGGTGTAGCATCAGGGCTTTTCTATCTACACGAAGAATGGGAACAAGTTGTGGTTCACAGAGATATCAAGGCTAGTAATGTCCTGTTGGATGGAGAATTAAATGGGAGATTGGGGGATTTTGGCCTAGCAAGATTGTATCAACATGGAACTGCTCCTGAAACTACCCATGTGGTTGGAACATTTGGGTACCTTGCCCCGGAGCACACTAGGACCGGCAAGGCCACGCCAAGCACTGATGTGTATGCTTTTGGGGCATTTTTGCTTGAGGTTGCTTGTGGAAGACGGCCAATAGAGCCACAAGCACCAGCTGAGGATCTAATTTTGGTTGATTGGGTGTTTGCTTGCTGGAGTGGAGGTGATATTCTTCGGGCAGTTGATCCAAACTTGGATACCAACTATGTGCCAGAGGAAGTGGTGTTAGTGTTGAAACTTGGTTTGCTGTGCTCTCATTCAGAGCCTGTGGCTAGGCCAACTATGCGACAAGTTGTGCAGTATTTGAAGGGTGACATTCCTCTACCGGAGTTGTCATCTCTTGGTATAACTGCCACTGGCCTAACTTTTGGACACCGTGAAGGCTTCGATGAGTTTGCATCATCGTATCCAACTTCTATGGAGAACGCATTTTCACACTCATGCTCTGCTGCAGAATCACTTCTCTCTGGATAATGAGTACTAAACCATTTGTTTCTGTAATTATTCATAAGCGTTAGTGTACCTGCCATATCAGTATTGGTGCAATATAGAATAATGTAAATCACAATTCCACTGGTTTCTATTTTCAAGGGTCATTACATAATTTCGAATCCAAGTCTCGTACGGACAAACTCCATATCGTTTGGGAGAAATCTATATCAGTAAGATGTTCTTGCACACAGATTGATATTTCTCCCTTCCTCCCTCTCTAAAAAAACCCACCATCTAAATTAAAACCGTTTCCAATTTGTAAATTCTATTTTTGGGTGGATACACATTTTATACATCACATATATCGAGCTAATGTTAAAAGAGCACAGGAAGGCAGATGGATTATGATGATCTACACTAATGACATAAGGTGAGAGTCTTACAAACTAGGGGTAGAAAATTTTACTGAAAACTATTGTATAATATATATATATATATAAGAAAAAATTACTCCGTATAAGAGTAAGAAAGAAATAAAGAAAGATTGCCAATATGCTCACAAAATTAATGTATTAAATAAAAGTCAGTCCAAATTGCCTGCTCTCTAATTTCTAAACTTGATTAAAAATAAAAGTTAGTCCGAATTTCATTTGAAGTATTGTTAGTCCGAATTTCATTTAAAGTATTGTGGCATTCTTCACAAAGAACCACTATTTCTTTTTTTTTCTTTTTTTGGGTTAAGGGGGTGGTACATGTATTGGCATGAAAAGTAACCCAAAGCCACAAAGGCAACCACTTTCCATTGACAGGGATCACGGAACTTCATCCGCATGAGGGCATGAAATCAAGAACCCTAGTGATGGCACGTAAATAATCTAGTCCTGATTTCAAGTTTCATGGGGTAGCCATTGTTGCTCCTCAGCCAACTCTAAAAGGCCGGTGAAAAATCTTTATCTCAATTGTTCTAATGGAAGTGTCTGTCAAAGAGGTAAGATGTTTTCTGAAATAGCTTTGGTGGTGATTTGAGTTTTAAAATATTTGTTGGAACAGAATTCACCTCTTTAGCATTTTTTTATTCTGAGTCCATCCAAAATCTTGTCAACCAAGGCACCAAGAAAAAGAAAGGAAATTGGGGAAGGACAGACCTTGAATTCATAACAAGAATTACTTTAAGTTGACTTTCATTGATTTCAGAGAGTCTGAATTTCTTCCAGCTTAATCTTTTATAGTAATGCCTGTCTTGTTCATCTATTCTATATCATTATATGCACAACACAAAACAAGAAATTGCTCAGTTAGAAGTCATTTTTAGGATAATTAAGCAATCTCTCATAATTCTCTACGCACCTTTAGAGAAGAACAAATAGTTCTGAAGTAGAATAAATATTTTGATTCATGTTGTCCAAGGCTCATTTGTTGCTCTTTCTCCTTATCAAAGTGGTTTCCTCTTCTGATAATGGTTTCACATTTTACAAAAGCTTCAAACTAGTTGGAGAAGCAGAAATTGCACCTGATGGTCTCTTCAAGCACATCAATGAAACATCATGGGGAATAATCCACACTTTCTACTCCCTTCCGTTCGGCTTCAAGAATTCGTTAACTGGTAATGCTCTCTCTTTCTCCACTATGTTTGTATTTGAAATTGTCCCTGAAATTCAGGATCGCATAGGACTCGGAATGGGTTTTGTCATTGCTCCCTCCAAAGAGATCCCTGGAGCTGGAGATTCCCAACATCTTGGGTTAGTCAATCTTACAAATGATGGACAACCATCTAATCACATGGTCTCCATCAGGTTTGACACATCTAAAGAAAAAGAATTTGGGGATATCAATGATAACCATGTTGGGATTAATATTAACAGCATAAGATCAATCAAATCGGCTCCTGCAGGCTATTTTAAAAATGAAAATGGTGAATTTAAAAACCTCAGCCTTACAAGTGGGGAGCCAATACAAGCTTGGGTGGAATATGATGGTATTGTGAAACAACTTAATGTCACTTTGTCACCCATAAACATAAACAAACCAAATCTTCCACTATTGTCCTTGAAAATTGATCTATCACCAATCTTTTTAGACCAAATGTATGTGGGGTTTTCTTCATCTATTGTTGTAAATCAACAGTCTCATTATGTTCTGGGTTGGAGTTTTCAGTTGAATGGGAAAGCTGAGGAACTTGATCTTTCCAAACTTCGGTCTCTTTCACATGAAAAAAAATCCATAAAGACACAGATTACTCTGGCTATTGGATTGTCCTTAATGGGTATAATTTTGGCAACAACAATAATTTTTATCATTTTTTTCTGGTTGAAAAGAAAGGCAAAATACTCCGAAATACTGGAAGATTGGGAGGTTCAGTATGGGCCACACAGGTTTCAATACAAAGATCTATTTCTAGCCACCGAAGGTTTCAAAGATACAGAACTTCTTGGAAGAGGAGGTTTTGGTGAAGTCTATAAAGGCGCCCTACCAATGTCCAATGTTCAAATTGCTGTGAAGAGAATTTCACACAATGCAAGACAAGGAATGAAGGAATTTGTTGCAGAAATTGCCACCATTGGGAGAGTGCGGCACCCCAATTTGGTAAGACTGCTTGGTTATTGTCGACGAAAATGTGAGCTCTATTTGATCTATGATTTGATGACAAATACTAGTCTCGACAAATTTATCTTTAATGAGACAAATGCCATGCTTAAATGGAATCAAAGATTTAAAATCATCAAAGACATAGCTTCAGGACTTGCTTACTTGCACGAAGAATGGGTGGAAGTTATTGTTCACAGAGATATCAAGGCAAGCAATGTGCTACTGGATGATGAACTAAATGGAAAATTGGGCGAATTTGGACTGGCAAGGTGTAACAATCATGGAAAGGATCCTCAAACAACTCACTTAGCTGGCACATTGGGCTACATTGCTCCTGAACTTGCAAGAAATGGCAAGGCAACAACAAGCAGCGATGTTTTCGCATTTGGCGCATTTTGCTTGGAGGTTGCTTGTGGTAGGAGACCAGTGGAGCATCGAGCACCATATGAAGAGGTAATTCTGGTGGACTGGGTATTGGAATGTTGGAGAAATGGGGAAATTTTGAAAGTGGCAGATTCCAAACTGAAAGGTGATTTCAAGGTGGATGAGTTAGAATTAATTCTGAAGCTTGGACTGCTTTGTTCACACCCTGCGGCAGCAATTAGGCCAAGCATGTCTCAAGTTCTGCAGTACTTGAACGGCCATGCTTTGATTCCTGAAAAGTTGGATTCTCATTGGACAGAGGATCATTTTGGAGGTACTTCCCAGTCAAATGACTCTAAACCTTCATTAACGATCACTGAATTGTTCATTGTTACTGGCCGTTGATTGTATAAAAGAAATTTCTTAGAAGCTGTACTTTGTAGATAAATAGTTAAATCCTGATGATCATCTATGTTTGAGGAGTATAATTTATATATGAATTTAACCAGGTCAAAGGAAGCATTTAGTATCGCGTGCCAGCCCAAAGCTGGACAGCTGGTGTTAAAACATTTTATTTTTCTAGTATCAAATAAAGTGTATACATCGTTGTTGTGTTCCTGGGAGTTATGACCCATTACTTAGCACTTCAATTCATTGAAAATTTTCGGTGTGATAAGTCACGATTGGCTCAGTACAATCAGCAACTAAGGTCTCGTAGGATAGTATTTATTCTATTAAACATTCAGATTGGTTCAATGCAACATGCATTTAGTTATATAGATATTTATCACATAGGTGGCTGATGTAATGCATCAGCAAATCAGGCCTTGTAGATGGATTGATGATCGGCATTAGGTATCTGAAACTTCAGCTAGTTTGTCCAGTAATCCATTGTCAAATTTAGTTAATTAAATTTAGCTTCAGTTTTCTGAAGCATAATCTTTCTTGAAATTGCTATCTACAAGTAGAAGTTTGGAACTCCTGTTACCACCGGTCAGTTTGCTGTCGCTTGGTGAAGCTGAAGAAAGCTATAAATGTTAAGGGGAATCTTTCCAAATTGGCATGAGGAGTATTAGTTAAGCCCAAACAGCAAGTAGTAATCCGATTAATAGCCTCAACAGAATATTTAAAATATAAGGTAAAATTACACCGACCTTCCTTGAGATTCGTAAAAATTAGACCTTATCTAGATTTTCAAAAATTACACGAAACTCTGTCAAAAATTCCATCACACTTTCACAGTGCCTTAATGGATACTATGATGTGATATTTTGCACCCTAATTTGTTTTTCAATTGGAAACTCAAATTCTGTGAAAGAACGGATTATTTTCTATTCTCTCCTCTCTTTTTAAACTGTCATGTTCTCCAAAAACCCTCTCTTGTCAAAACCCCCTAATTCCACCACTACACGTGATTCTCCCAACACTTAATCTCTCTGTCATTATTTGCCATTAGAGAAGCAATTTCAGATTTATCCATAAAAAGATGTCTCCATTTTGTCGAGGCTTTCCACTGGTTTCTTCAAAGACCAAAGTGGAGAGGTGCATATCCCCTATAGATACGGACACGGAACACAAGTACAACACGATAAAAACTAAAAATAAATTATATAATGTATTATTGTATCTAATTCTATCCTTTCTAGTCTTGGCAAATTCATCTCAATATTCGCATTACTTACTTATAAAATAAAAATAAAAATAAAAAAATCTCAATATTCGCATTACAGCCACACTCACTTTATTTCTTAGTTGCCCAACATTTTGTACCATAAAGTATGGCTGTCTAATGGCGGTTCGATAGAACTTCCTTTTCATTTGTAAGGGGATATGCCTATCACACAATATACTAGATGCATATTATTACATATAATTCTATCCTCTCTAGTCTTACCGCAAATTCATCTCAACATTCACATTTCCACCACACTCACTTTATGCATATGTTGTTTCCTAGTTGCCCAACATTTTGTGTCAAAGTATGGCTGGTCTACTAGCGGTTCGATAGAATTTCTCTTTCAATCATAAGGGAATACACCTATCACACAATATACTAAATGCACTCATCTATTTAACCCATCCTACCTTGATTCTGCAATTAACGTCATCTCCAATTTCTCCTTCATTATGAATAATTGAACCTAAATAACGAAAATGTTCACTTTTTTGACATAGTCCACTGTGAGGTAATGCTAGGGAAAGAGGAAGGCCAAAGTTAATGTGGGAGTTACTAAAGAAGTATATGATGGCATATTGGCATGTGGTTTGATTCAATCTATAGCCTAAGATACAGTGGGATGAAAACATAGAATTCATGCCAAAACATAGAATTCATGCAGCGGATCCTAAGTAGTTGGAAAAATGGCTGCTTTTTGTTATTGTATATATGGAAAAAATGAATTTTGCTTATTTTATCCATAAATCATGAATGTAATCATTAATTTGTTCATAAATAAAAAAGCAACTACATGACACAAATAACTCATTTCATGATTTACGTAAGTAGAATCGAAATCGTAGAATTCATTTCCTTCAAAATTCAAATAGCAATATAGCATTTAGAATATTCTAATCGTTTTTTCAGGTCAACAATGACAAAAAAGATAAATCACGAAGAAAATTGCAAAAGCAAATTCCAAGCAAAAACAATCGCCATAAAGCAATGCACTAACAGTCGCCAACAGCAATGTATCAACAGTCCCCAAGAAAAAATCCCAAGGGAATAGAAAGTGAGAGAGCGAAAAACCTGGAGGAGCTCGCGGTGGAGGAGAGATAATGGTTGAAGGAGCTTCTTCCCGCTAATGGAGGAGCTTGCGGTAGGGGTGGAGGTCGGCTAGGTTAGATCGTGATTTAAATTTTAAATTGTATGTTACTTTTGTATTGACATAATATCTTTTAAAATTATATTATGTACCGCGTGTTCTCCCGTGTGTAAAAATAAAAAAATTCACCACAAGACATGCCAAAAGCTCTCATATAGCTTCCTTCCTAAAGTCCATTAATACATAATTTTCCATTTATTTTTTTGTTTCGTAGGTAAGTTGGTGTAATACTAACACTCAAGTCTAAGGTTTAAGTTGTATAGCAATACTTGTTTGCTATATTAGTACCACTAATTAGTACCACTAATACGTGTTTTAACACTTCTATTATAAACTTGAGTGCAAACTGAGTTGTGCAAATGCTAGTCACAATAGAATAGTATCTTCTGACTAGGTCTCAATTATATTTATACCTGTTTTGATCAATTTCTTTTCTTTTCTTTTTTTCCAAAATTAAAGCAATTTTCATATATGAATAAAATGTACAAATGGTGGGCTTTTGGCCCAAAAGAAACCAACCCATAAGGTTGCAATACAAGCCCAGCCGTCGAACAATCCTAAACACAATATAACAAAACACAAGCTAACTACCGTTAACTGCAAAAAGCCGTTTATGGAGGTTGCAATCAATCCGGTGGTAACGCAGCAGCGGCTACGCCGCCTGAAATTAGTCCGGCGGGCGTGGAGGTGGTCTGCAGCGAGAAGGGGACATTCCTTGAGATAACCAAGCTTCAGAATTGCTACAATTGTGGAGGAGATCTTGGCGCATACCACCCTTTGTGAAGACTTCTAGCCTCTGAAGATTTGAGCTTTCCTTTCTTCCCAGGTATGAAACACCAAAGAAGATAGACATAGTTTCTGATGTATATTGATAGGAGTATTTGTTTTCTATTGATTACTCATCCACAGAATAAGAGTATCCCAATTATCAATTGATGTTTGAATGTTACTTTTGTCTTTAATAAAATGCCATAAAGGGAATATGTAAGGGCAATTAAAAAATAGGTGGGTATGGGATTCAGTTGAAATGTTGCACAGAGGGCAAATGTTATGGTGTATATATAGCTATTGATTTACTGTCAAGGGTAGGTAGTTTGGATTGAGCAGCTAGCCAAAGATTGAATTTCATTCTAGGGATGGTTGGAGAGTGCCAAACCAGATTGTGCCATGGAATAGTGGGGAACTCACCTGAAAAGTATACAACTGTGTGTTTGAAGGAGTAGAGGCCTGAAGGTGAGATTGTCCACCTTTTAGTGTCACTTCTGGATACATATGGAGCAGGTAGGTTGAGTAATTTCGGTATGTTGTTGGTTATGGAAAGAGGGAAATCCCAATTGTTGTTGATAATGAAAGAATCCACTTTTGTAGTGTGATGTTTCCGATTTTTCAGCATTTTTCATTTTTTCTGGAATTTCGTTGATGCAAGGGTATTTCTGTCTTTTCACGTTTTGCGTACGGAATTCTAGTTGAGTCCACTTGCATTTCATACATTTTATTTTATGTGTTTTATATAGTATTTATGAGGTGGTGCACTTACATGTGTGTATGGTGTGGAAATTTAAACAAAAAGAAAAAGAGAAAAGAAAAGATAAATGGGGGGCCCACCACTATTGTTTAAGTGGTCTAGAGACCACATTTCCATTCCTATTTTCTCTCTCCCCGCTGGTTTTCTTCCTCTCCTTCATTTCTTCTTCATTTTTCTTTTTTTTTGATTTTCAAACTTCAAATCTTGATCCCATCTTCAATACTTGGAATTTTGGGGTGCCGTTTGAGGCAAAATGGAGAGCACGACGAGCTCTACGCGTGGATAGCAACAATTTCAGATTTGGTGCTCTCTTTGGATTTCGAATTTGGAGACCCATTTTAAGGGTTTTGCATCAAACTTGAGGTAGGGGTTCTTAATTCATGTTATCTTGCTCTTTAGTGAATTATATCTCCTAAAATGTTACAAGCATGTTTTATTTGAATGTTAACTATTTTAAAGATCTTCTAAGTGTTGTTTAGAAAATACATGATTATGTATATGAGTTGTTTGGTGTGAAAAACATGCTTAAATGTTGTTTGGTTATGTGTAATGTGTTGATAAATTACTTGAGATGATGAAAATGGAATATGCTTAATTGTGTAGTGTAATTTCTCTAAATTCTATGACATTGCAAGCATGGGACATATACATGTGCATATCATTAGGTTTTCATGAAGAAAATTGTTTTGAAATGAAAATGGGAATTTTGGGGAAAGTGTTTTGATGAATTGGTTTTATGAAAACCCGGTGGCCGCGGGGGTACTAAAGGGCCAGATGGTTAATATAGCCCAGAGGGAATTAGGGAGATTGCCCTAGCGTGGTTGAGCTAGCTGGGCCCAAAAAGACCCCCATTGGTACCAAGGGTCAGGGATACTAACCAATCCTTCTCTTGTGTCGCTGCGGGGTCATCAAAGGGTGGGTTATGTTAACCGTTTAAAAGTGATGGTTTTAGAATGAAAATGGGGAGCGATATTGGCATGCATTGCATTTCATTGCATTGCATTGGTTATATTGAATTTGTTATTATGTTGTGTATTCCCAACATGATATAACCCCCTTTCCCATTGCTCTATTCTTTGTATGGATTCACGGGGACACAAAAGGCGTGTCTTAAGTGCTACCTACTGA